GGAGGGGGGAGGGGGGAGGGGGTGCAGCGATTCTATGAAAAAAAAAAAAAAAGACTAAGTGTGACATTGTTCTATAACGGGACGATATCAGTAAAGGACAAACTCCCGTGTTGCAGCTGGTCTCTTCCCCAACTTCCCAGCACCCAAAATCTCAAGTGACTGTGAGGTGTTGCCAGATTATACTTTGGAATTAGTAAACTTTTATTTTCACTTCTTCGCCAGAAATTTCCATTACGGGAAGCGTCCGGCTGAAAATACCACGAAAATCGGAAAATTACGAAAATATTCATTAAAATTCCTGAGGAAAGCTGTTGCCTATGGCTATATGCTGACATTTTTATTATGTAATTCATAATATTTATGTAGCTATGCATGATTGTTCTACCCCCCCCCCCTCCATTTATTTAGAGGGCCCTTTTGTTTATGTAGCAAAAACTGTAGAAAAGTCTTTATAATAATATTTTGGTGTAAATTAATAACAATCACTTGGTAAATATCAGTAACTGACAAGTTTCTGAACTCCCTAGTAGTAGGACCACCAGAGTCTGAGGCCGCAGTTACACACAAAAGAAGCGAGGGAGAGATTCGGCCGTCTGTTGCCCCATCGGCCCATACATTAGAACGAGTTTTTCTAGCCTTCAAATCCCGAAGGCTCGACCATTTATGGGCCGATTCTAATAGAACCAAAACTAAGTAGGAGAATAACATAGGTACTGTGCATGGCGTAACATATAGATTTTCTTTATATCTGGTTTGGTTTATTATTTGCTGATTTATCTTTATAAATATTTGGAGGAAAAAATGGCACGTTAGGAAAAAAATTCATGCTCCCACAACAACAACTAAAGCGATAATCAGAAATACCTATATGTTACCTTCAAGAAGAGCAAATTACCTATATTCCACATGAATTTTAATGTAATCTAGCAATAAGTTATGGAGAAGTAGGGTTTTGAAAACTGGTAAGAATATAAGGGAAAAATCAGGTATCATGGATTAGGCAGAACCGTTTCAAGGGTATAGAAACAATGTACTGTATCTGGTGTCCTTAATTGATGACAGGAAATTGATATTGATTGATCAATTATTAAAAAATTTTGTGCTTCAGCCGGCACTGTTAAGGAGACACAGCAGTCAGACAAACAAATAAAACGTAATGCATTTAATTGACTTTTCTGAACAGTTTAAGGAAAAGTCTGAGGAAAGAATAGTTTGGTGCGAGAAGACCAAGTCCAGTTATACGAGTGTTTTATTGGTGCACATATGGAGTACTTATGTGTTATGGCCCTAGTGGGTGAGTGTTTTACTGGTGCACATATGGAGTACTGTACAGTAAAGGGAAGCATATACAGAGGACCTGGTATAAGGGCAGAGTAGGAGACAGGGGAGGGATCTGTGTGAGCATATGCAAGCACACTTCTGTACACACGCAAGATCCAGCTGTGTGTGTGTGTGTGTGTGTAAAATTTTGCATAAGGCCAAATGCCATCTAGCAGAAACACTGGACAGTTTCAAGAGCAGTAATAGTGGCTACGGCATTAGAAAATAACAAAAGAGAAACAAAGTCCCCGGACATAGAGGTGTAGTTAAGCCTTCGTCCACAACACTACCGTACCGGGTACAGTTGGGTCAGGATATATCGCCAGATAGGGTCCAACGATGTTCGCTATAAACTAAATCGTGAAATGTAATTACATGTAATCAATGGGGAAAATAGGGTTAGGTTCTGGAGGCCAATAATAGTGACTAAACTTGACATAAATGGCACAGTCTAAAGTAAGCATAATATAAATAACATTTCTGGAATTCTTGTAAGACAGCAAATAATTTGAATATAGACATCATATGTTTTGCACAAGAGCTAAAATTTTTAGTCCTTTGTACTAAAATGTACTAAATCATTACTAAAGTTTTATGTCTATTGCAAACTATAGCATTATGTTCATACTCAAATTAATCACCATCTTACAAGAATTCCAGCAATGTTAATAATATTCTCTTAAGTCAATTAATTTACATTTTATAAGATCAAAACATAAACTCCCACTATATTACAGATCAATAAATACCACTAGGTAACCGTTGTCTGGCCGTCAACTCCTTGCCGACGTCTGGTGGTAAGGGTGACTGTGGTTGTAGGCTTAAAGTTTTGATCTTATAAAATATCAGACAAAAGTTAGCAGAATATAAATAACATTGCTGGAATCCTTGCAAGACAGTGAATAATTTGAATATGGACATCATATATTTTGCACAAGAGATAAATTTTTTTGTCTTTTAGAGTCCATTTAAGTACTGTAGTGTACAGCTTCTCAACTCGTATTTTTGGGGCAATTTAGGGTATTTTTAAGAGTGTTTCTGTCTTTATATGGTTTTTGGCTTTATGTGAAGACCCAGGAACATAACCCCACGTAAGTTGTGAGTCTACTGTAAATAAATTTATCGCTATATATATACGTATAGGAAAATGTTGATAATCTTGGTAGCCGCTACGTATATAAAATAATCTTTATATAAAGTCGCCATATACCCCAACCCGACTGTATTGCAAGGAAGGTACTGTATATCTCCCAGGAAACTGCGTCTAACCCACGCAAGTGTGGAGAAATGGCTATAAATAATGATGATGAGTTAAGAAGGATTAGGTGAGAAGTAGCAGGACAGGTTGACATTTTTTGTGGATGATAATATGGTGAAAAAACCACCACCAATGTGCAAGAACCTGAGCTTAAATCACCATCCATGAAGTAACAATATTTAAGTACCCTAAAACCATACAAATTAGTTATGACCCTTAGTTTATAGTTAAATAATACAATACTGGGCAGAGTAACTCAGCTTCCCCAAACATTGATAGCACCAGAAGCTTCTTATAGATATCACTGTGTATTAAATGGAAAAAATAAATCTGCATTAGTTTAGACACAAGAGAGCTGTTAGATGCAAGAGAACCATACTGAAGCAAACTTTTACCTTACTATCAAAGGGCATATAAGGTCATTCACTCTTACTACTAAATCTACTGAAGCAAACTTTTACCTTACTATCAAAGGGCATACAAGGTCATTCACTCTTACTACTAAATCTACTGAAGCAAACTTTTATCTTACTATCAAAGGGCATATAAGGTCATTCACTCTTACTATTAAATCTTAACCTGTAAAATGCGTTGAAAAACTAGAATGCAGATGCAAGTTATCATGATAAAAACAGATGAAAGAAAAGGACAAAGAATTATCTGGGTAAAATATGAGGTCTACAATGCAGTTGGACCTTTAATATGTAAAACAAATCACAAGTGCATACATTACAAATATAATTAGAGAGGACAAAAAATTACCTGAAGACAGATCCAGAGACAAAGAACAGTACCACCATGAGGACATGCACTGACAAACACCTAACACAGTACACAAATGATCACTATTTGGTGGGTTAATATTTACCGCCCTAGAGGAAACATCTGCCAGGGTACTCATATTACACAGTACAGTACAGCATAGTATGGTACAGCATAGTACAGTACAGTACAGCACAGTACAGCATAGTACAGTACAGCATAGTACAGTACAGTACAGTACAGCACAGTACAGTACAGCACAGTATAGTACAGTACAGCATAGTATGGTACAGCATAGTACAGCACAGTACAGCATAGTACAGTACAGCATAGTACAGTACAGCATAGTACAGTACAGTACAGCACAGTACAGTACAGCACAGTATAGTATAGTACAGCATAGTATGGTACAGCAAAGTACAGTACAGTACAGTACAGTACAGTACAGCATAGTACAGTACAGCATAGTACAGTACAGTACAGCACAGTACAGTACAGCACAGTATAGTACAGTACAGCATAGTACAGTATAGTATAGTACAGTACAGTACAGCACAGTACATCACAGTACAGCACAGAACAGTACAGTACAACACAGTACAGTACAGCATAGTACAGTACCGTACACCACAGTACACCACACTACAGCACAGTACAGTACAGCAGAGTACAGTATAGTACAGTACAGTACAGTACAGTATAGTATAGTACAGTACAGTATAGTATAGTACAGTACAGCACAGTACAGCATAGTACAGAACAGCACAGTACAGTATAGTACAGAACAGGACAGCACAGTACAGTACAGTACAGTACAGCACAGTACAGTATAGTACAGTACATTACAGTACAGCACAGCACAGTACAGTACAGCACAGTACAGTACAGCACAGTACAGTACAGCACAGTACAGTACAGCATAGTACAGTACAGCATAGTACAGTACAGCATAGCACAGTACAGTACAGCATAGTACAGTACAGTACAGCACAGAACAGTACAGTACAGCACAGTCCAGTAGAGTATAGTATAGTACAGAACATTACAGTACAGCACAGCACAGCACAGTCCAGCACAGTACAGTACAGCAGAGTACAGTACACCACAGTGCAGTACAACACAGTACAGCACAGCACAGCACAGTTCAGTACAGCACAGGACAGTACAGCACAGCACAGTACAGCGCAGCACAGTACAGTACAGTACAGCACAGTACAGCACAGCACAGTACAGCACAGTACAGTACAGCAAAGTACAGCACAGTACAGCACAGTACAGTACAGCACAGTACAGTACAGTACAGTACAGCACAGTACAGTACAGAACAGCACAGTACAGTCCAGTACAGCACAGCACAGTACACTACAGCACAGTACAGTACAGCACAGTACATCACAGCACAGTACAGTACAGTACAGCACAGTACAGTACAGTACAGTACAGTACAGCACAGTACAGTACAGCACCGTACAGCACAGCATAGTACTGGAGAGTTAAATGACCAAACTATACTAACCGTGGTGGTGGTGGTGGTAAAGGGCTCTACCATTCAATACTAACCGTCGTGGCAGTGAGAGCAGTCGTGAGGGCACTACCATTCTAGTCTAACCATGAAATTAGTGATGGTTGTGGTTAGTGGGCACTACATTTCTATACTAACCGTGGTGGTAGTGGTGGTAGTGGTGACGGAGGTGGTAGTGGGGCTGGGGAAGGCATCCTGGTGCAGAACAGGCAGAGTTCGCATGATCTCAAGAGGGGTGAGGACTCTTATATGCTGATCGGGGTCCGGGGGGGAAGTGGGAGTGGCTAGTGGGGGCTCGGCCCGTGGAGGGTTAGGCAAGCGGGAAAGGGAAGGCTTGACTGGGTTGATGCTTCCAGGAGGTGAGGTCTGTACCCCAGCCACTTTCATGGTGGTGGCACTTGAAACAATATTGCATGGTTCTAGAGAATCATCAGAAGCATTAGAGGCGTGACTCTCTGAGCTCACCAGTCGCAGAGAACAGGATGGTACTTGTGATGACACCAAGGGTGGGGTCTGTCCTTGGGTACCAGAAGGGGGTGACAAGGGGGGTTGGGGGGTGCTAGAGCTCTCCACAGACAAGGGAGAGAGAGGGAGCGGTGAGGTAGAGCCTGGGGGGTCTCGTGCACAGCTGCCCTGGGGAATGATGACTCGTCCACTGCGGAACTATAGGGACCACAGACAGAAAACGGGTGTGTCACTACATGGATCTAAATTCAATGCAAAGGGGCCATTTTTGATGAAATGTTTCTTTTAATATCAAAAGTGTCTCCATTCTTGTATCAACAGTCATGTTAGAATCTGACAAGAGTTAGTAAGAGCTACTTCCAAGATATTTGCAAGTTATTAAGCATGGTTAGTTGACTGAATATATGTTTTCATTTTAACTTTAAAAAGTTATTAGTGCTTTGTCACATAATTTGCAAAGGTTAATATCATATACACAATAAGAATTAGTAATCAATAAAAATACTGCAATGTCAAATACTGCAGAGCATTTAATGTTTTTGTCTACCTTCACCATGCAATTTTTTAATATTGCATGCACAATATAAAATAATTCAATTTTTAGTCATGCAAGTCACCCAGTGCAGGATCTTTATAAACATGCTCCTTGCAAACATCTAATTTTAGGTCGTCTTGTCCTTGGTTTATAACATTTTCTGAGGACACTCGCTTTAAGTGGCTGATGCACTGTTATGTCCTCTCGTATCTCAACGTCTTACACCAACACAAACATAATGGGAAGAAAAAGAAAATGTAATGTGAACTAATTAGAGAAATGAGCACAAGGATATATTTTCTTTCTCGAGAGGAGTGAAGCATTATAGTATATCAGGTACAGGGAAGGGAAGCAAGCACAGCATAATATCAAGTACTGTACAGGGAAACAAGCACAGCATAATATCAAGCACAAGGAAACAAGCATAACATTAATAACAAAAAAAAAAAAAAAAAATAGAAAATAAACCTCACACGGGGTAACTAAGACAAAAAAATAACCACACAGCAAAAATACATTGTAAAAAAGTCAAACATACTACTGAAGTGGACATAATGATACTAGTTTGATGGCCACAGTCAAACACTCAATGAAGAGAACTTAAAAAATAAATAAATATATAAATATATATATATATACAGTATATATAATAAAATAAAATCCAATCCCCATTAACCAGACATACAATCCACACACCAATTCACAAGCAGCAACCCCAACCTTTAACTCTCCTGCACAGTCGTCCCATTACTAGCAGAAGAGAACGGACCGATCATAGTTTGGTAAAATAAACAATACTCGAGATGTTGTTATAAAATTCTACCAAGAGATAAGAAATCATCAAACAGTACGAAGCTAGGAGAATCCAAGCTACAGAGAGGCAACAACACTACCGGCTTTATCTCTCACTCGTCAACAAAATGCATCGGTCTAGAGGGAAAATGTACGATGATACGAGTCATAACAAAAAACTTCAATAAACTTTTGACACTATGCAGCACTCAGATGGTGTAACAGGAGGGCAGTAGTAGCATTCATAATAAACTAATACCAGTGAAGTAAAACAATAATTAAAAACAATAATAATAATAATAATAATAATAATAATAATAATAATAATAATAATAATAATAATAATAATAATAATAAAGCATTTCATATACGAGTGTATCAAGTCATGCTGAGAGCCATACCATCAACCAAATAATACTGATGTAGAATCTGTTATGTTAAGAACCATAGGCTATATATCCTTCTCTAAATGTTAACAACACTAGGAAAAAATATCTAGTACTCATTATCCAGTTATAATAAAGAAACACACACCTTCATCTTATAAATGGTCTTTGTACAACAAAAATAAAATCCTTTAAAGAGACTGAAATATATATCCTATACGGCTACAATCTTTTCTTGTTGACATATTAAAGTTTTTATACAGTGGCTCTGATCAACCTTGGATTCACTGCCACCATTAATAAAGTTTGTCCTTGATCACTCTCATACACGTATAAAGCCATACCGGCCTTTATAATCCCCCCAATTATTCACTATCATTAACACTACCTTAGACAAACATAATTTTTCTTATATAAATTGTTATAGTTTGGGTATAAGTGTATTAACAGCTTCCTTTTTCAGATGTAAAGTTCTGAACTAATTTTCTCAGCCTGAGTGTTGGTGTTGTAGGCTAGAGTGTCAACACTTCACATAAGCTAACTTGCTCCAAACGTGGGGAGAAAGATAAAACAGGTTCAAGTCTAATAACATCTCTGTGTTGATCATATGGCTATATACTACAGCAGCGGTTCCCAACCCCAGGTAGCGACCCAAATCAGGGTCACGGGGTGTCCTCAGTAGGGTCGCGAGTGACCTTCAGACAATTTAAAAAATATAGTACTTATCATAGTCAAACAAATTTTTGCTTAACATTCAAGCTATATAATATATTATATGCCCGAGGGTCATGACACCGTATTGTTGGGAAATTTAGGGTCGCAGCCAAAAAAGGTTGGGAACCATTGTACTACAGTAATGGAAGAGAAACAAATAACATTGAAATGGGAACAGCAAAAAAATAAAATAATAAGTACTGCACAGTAAATGAAATGAATCAAATACACAACAAAAATTCATGGAAACAAAATGATGCTTTTGCTTATATTTTAGAACAAACTCAAATTATGTATAGAAAAAAAAAAAATCCAGATATACACAGAGTCTGACCTGCTTGTTCTTGTAGTATTCCTTCTTGTTCTCGCGAGCTCTGTGGATCAGCATCTTCTTCTCCTCGGTGTCCTTCAGGTTCTTCCAGATGCGTCTAATCTGCCGCGCTCGATCTGCCGGAGCTGGCGTAAAATCACAAGGCTTTATGGGTTAATATTCTCACATAAATGCATCTCTCTCTCTCTCTCTCATACATCACAATACTGTACCGTAAATGAATAAACCTTTTCAACATACTCCACCATAATGTACTGTATTTCAACATTCATATTCCAACCTTTCAAAGTATCTGCCTTTCTGATTTCTCTTTGATCTTAGCATTAATTTCTACACCCCAATAAAAATGCTTTACTCTAGAGCTTCTCACCGTCTTCTAAGCTGTTTCACTCTTTGTAACATTAATTAATCCAACCTTATTAAATCAAAGTTTATGATATCCCAGTTTGTGGGAGAGAATGTAACCTGTGGAGAGTCATCCTACCCCAGCTGAATGATATACTGTACTGTACAGCCGTTACATAATGTGGGGTGAAACACTGAATATATTACACAAACCACTTGGTGTTACATTAAATATGGAAGTTGCAGATCATGATCACTCTCCAGAACACGTGTTTTAATTAGAAAAATAATAATAATCATTAGATGTACTGTAACCATATCAAATGTACAAAGTGATAAAACCCAATGAATTATCTTTCATAAAACTAAACAACAAACCAATGGGAGGTAGCACGGCTGCCACTGCACTACACCATCTTCATTTCACCGACTGAGGTATATAGTTGGATGGACTGCGAGTGACCCAGACATGATTCACAAGTCTTTAGAACAGGTCAAGAGATGAGTACTGTATTCAGTAACTCCTCACCACATAAGAGTATACTGTACTGTTACTTCATTACATTTCCTTTACCCAGTACAGGATATTAGTCTATTAGTTACAATATCACGGTCACTCACTCCTCTAGTTCCAACACACAACTTTTCTTTCATTTCTACAGTAAAGGCTAATAACTTTATAGAGTAAAATTCTGAATATATATAAAATTACAGACAAATAACTTACCTGGAAAATCTGTTTTGAGGTTGGGCTTGTGGATGTTAGCATACAATACACCTGCCTTGGTGGCCTTAGCACCAAGAGATTCATCTTCCTCTAAGCTAAGGCTCTGGGACTGAGAGTCATTATTTGACCAAATTTTCTGAGGCTCAGGAATGGTCGGAGTTGAAGCCTTGTTTGTTGTTGTAAATGATGTAGGAGTAGAAGGATATCCGTGAGACAACGCCTGCGTGTCTGGCCGAGACAGAGGGCTAGCAAGAGATTGGGTTATAACTGGTCCTACGGTGACAGGACTTGGTAATGGACTAGGAAGAGCAGAGGGACTTTGATGGGTGACAGGGCTTGGAAGTGCAACTGGACTCTGTAATGTGGTAGGACAATTAATGGATGGAATAGGAGTCAGACCTTGGATTGGGTTATTGAGTGAAACTGATGAAACTGCAGACATTGTTGGACCTGATGGAACTCCTGGGATCACTGGTCCTGTTGGCACCGAGCCTAATGGTGCAACAGGGGGTTGGTTTGGACGAAGTGTGGAGGCTGCAGGGAGGGTGACCGTCGGTGCGATGGGTGTAATAAGGGCTTCTTTGGTGTTTGGGAGAGTTAGAGGAGCTTGGGTGGCAGGAGAGACTGTAGGAGTACTGTTGATACTTGCTTCACTGTCCACACAAGTAGAACCTTCACCCTCAGCACCACCCAATGTTGATGTTGGAGGAATGGATGTTGAGAGGGTGGAGTCTTGACTATCTTCTGTGCTGTCTTCAGGAAGGTTCTTCATAATATCTGCCACATCATCAAGATTAAAACCTGGTCCAAGAATATCTGTTAACTTAGTCCCATTGCCACTAACACAAGGAACATCAATGGTATCTTGAGATATGTCGTCATCACCAGTTAAGTTGGGATCATCGTCCTTTATGGCACCACTAATGATATCATGCATGAGAATGTCGGTAATATCGCCGCCCTGGGCAAAGATGGCATCAATAGCTTCATTGTTTTCATCTTCTTCTGCCATATCTTCATCCTGATTAAGAAAAACATAAGAAAACATGTAGTATAAGAAACCAGAATATACTGACAATAATAAATGTCTTAATCCCCATCCAACACAAAATATTAATCTCCCAAGCTATAAGCAGCACAGTACAGTACAGTATTGCCGTTGAACTAAAGAGTCCTACACTGTATCTCAATAAATTCAGTATCTTATATGTATCCATATGTATTAGCCCCTGTCCAACAGACACTAATACATATGGATCGATATAAAGATAATGAATTTATTGACATTACCTTCTGTTTACCTGTTGTACTCACTGTAGAGTCAGTATAAACCCCCTCTCAGGCGAGACAGCACACGGTGAATATTTTTTTTTTTGCTTCATCAATTCTCCCCAAAAAACTTATTCTTAGTGGCATAAACCACATATCTTTGGCTTTGTAACTGATTCCTCTGCATTATATACATCAATAATGAGCCAACTGCTGAAGTATTATACACTGTTAGAACCACAATTTTATGAGGTTTCCAACACAGTAATCAGATTTCTGTTGTGACCAATAGATTTTGAGAAAATAGCAAAAAACTAATTATCAAAAGCTAAAAATTTTTTTTTTATCTTTTTCGATTATTTTTGTGCCTATGTTTTATATCGATATAAATTATACTGCATCTTGTAGCCAACACTATAATGAAGAGAAAGGTACAGTACTTGTACTGATAAAATTGATGCAAGTCTACGAAATCATCCTCTTTCAGAGACTTTCTTCAACACATTGTCACTATAATGAGGTTGTATAGCCTGATAGGTAGTGGCTTTTGAAAGCTAAACACTTTCCCTGTAAATATGAAAACAATATTACCTTACACAACCATCACTTCACTTCTCTAACACTAAAAAGAAATTATTTCAGGGAGTCGGGTAAGCACTGTAAGCCAGGAGTTGAGGCAGCCAGCACGGAGTTATGGAAATTTAAATGAACGCGGCTCACACTCACGGTCAGACTGCTGAGATAATACTGTGCATTTAACGTTCCGGTCTTCCCTTCCTATGGGCCTCGAGTATTACCAATTAGTTTATCTAATAGAACTTACTTGCTACCATGACGCAATTCTGTTGAAAACTTAATTTTTGGCAAATTTTTTAAAGCTCGGTGACTCGGTTTGCGTTACCGTGAAGTTGGTCTCATCACGAATTTGACGCAAAACGTGTCATCATTCACGAGAGGGTTAAAGGTGCACTGGAAGTAACACATACAGGGGATCCTCGCTGTTTGTTGTACAGATATGTGTTATTTCCTACATACGTCGTAAACGAACATAGGAAGAAATCTTTATTATACGTCATGTTTCACATATATACTGTACTGTACATCGTCTGCATTACCCACCGATTCTGTGTAACCTGAATATGATGCATAACTGTTAAAGCCCATAATATAATGTAAAATTAACCACAGTAAGTAATAAAAGTGCCTTAAAAGTGTTAAGTTTCTACAATGCCAGTCACCTCTCATGCCATTCTCAAGTAACCACAGAATTTGTAGAAAAGTCATTTCAATGTGCTTCTATGCTTTAACTGCCTTATGAATAAAGAATATACTGCACAGTAATACAAAGATACAGTAGAACGTCAATTTAAAGAGATTCAATTTAAGATTATTGATTTATAGCGACACCCACAATTAAGGACAATGTTTAAATTTAAAGCAATACTTTCCTATTTTGTGCGAGTCAATCTGGTGCATCATATTTAAGAATTCGCGCCCAATGATTCTCTGGGCACGCTACACTGTCCTAAGGGCAAAGCTGTACTGTACATGTACTCAAAATAATGTACTAAATGATTACAACAATTTTTATCTAGTGCAAACTATAGCATGATTATATTCAAATTAATCACTATCTTATAAGAATTCCAGTAATGTAAATTATATTCTCCCCGGTCACTTGTGTGACATTTTATAAAAACAAAACAAAAACTCACTCTAAAGGACATAAATAAACAATAAATACCTCACTAGACCTTCCCGCCAACTGTCAAACATGTCACTGTCACCCCTCCCTCCCTCCCTCCCCATCTTCCCAGCCAGGGTTTGGTGGTTATAGGCTAACAGTTTTTATCTTATATAATATCACAGACTAAAGTTATCAGAATATAATATGCATTGCTAGAATCCTTGCAAAACAGCGGATAATTTGAATATAAACGTCATATAGTTTGCACAAGAGATAAAAATTCTAGCCCTTTGTTATAAAATTAATTAGAACATGTCAGTTCAGTGACATTTTTTAAGAGAAAAACTTAAAGTCACTCTTAAGGACAGATAAATAAATAAGCACTAGACCTTGGCATCAGCTGTCAAACATATCACCTTAACCCCCCCCCCCCCAGTAAACAGACCATTTCACATCCCATAATTTTAGCTGTGTTGATTTATGAGTGTTTGTTTTAACATAATACTACAAAAAACAATGGTTTGTTTATTCTAGGAGATGGGCTGAGGTGCATCTGGGTAGACTCTCAGTCTTTTTAGTATTTTGTGTTTCTCTCAAGTACCAAACTAAATTATTCCATTGAAACAACACTTGGATTTAGTGCAGTTTAAAGCGACCTTTCTTGGAACGCATCTCGCGGTATATAGACGTTCTAGTGTAAGATAAGAAAAACAAAATGTGAGTTGTCAGGTTTATAGTGAACCTAATAACACACACATGACAGAGAGAGAACAAGAGGAATGTTCCTGGGTTATATTTCACTGTACAGTACCTTGTGATCTTTGTCTTTCTTGTCGTCCGTGTCTTTTCTATCGCGTTTCTTGGCATCGACGCCGTCCTCAGATTTTGTGAGGTGCGGCAACAGTTTGGTATGATGTAGGTCGATGCGTCTCTCGTGCCCATGCTGCTGTTTGTTTTGGGCTGCTTGTACCAGCTGAAGTTCATCCTAGATGCCCAATGAAAACAATAATCATAATGAGCTTTACCCTTCTTCTTCTTCTACAGTACTTACATATATCTGAGGTCTTGTACAGTGAGGTAATTAATGCAGAACCTACTGAATCTACTGAATTTACTGAGTAACTAAATGAAAGTTTTTATTCATTACATTAAATAAATAAAATACAAAACACTGAAGATTTAAAGTACAGTATTCACTAATAACTGATTAAATGAAGGCCACATTGATTATTTTGTTTGTAAATATAATACCAGAGTTGTCACCTTGGAGAGTGTGATGGCAGACTTTGGTTTGTGAGACTCAAGAACATCTTCATCTGGTTCTTCATCCAAGCCACTAATTTGTTTCATCTCCTCTTCTAAATTACTTGTGTCCATCAAGTTTCTACCAAAGAATGCTTCCTGCAATGGAAATATTAACAGAGACATGAGAAACATTACATTATATTTTTGCACACTGACAAAGCCTTTCCCCACTTTAATGCTGGGCTGCTCACATTAAACACACATTCAGTCTTACTACTGTGATAGATGTGCACTCCTCTTCCACAACAAGGCCCCATGTATCTCCGGACACAACCTACCCTAACCCACATCCCTCAGTGCCATACTCTATACTTTGGTCATGCACATCACTGCTTTATGGATGATCATCTCTCTCACTACTAGTGTTTCCCTCACCCTATCCTTCCATCATATCTCGAACCAATCTTTCACTGCCCATTCTCTCTGTATATATTCACAGCATAAGAGTCTCAGAGCAGGTTGGAGATTAGAGGTGCAGTTTCCAAGACCCAGCAGATTGTACAGCCAAGAATGTTCCCAGGTATGAGGAGTTCAAGAATCTTGGTTTGCAATTCACCAAAGGAGGAGTGGATGTGGGAAGATATTCTTCATCCCTTCCGAGGCTGTCTGCAATACTCATTCAGTCAAGTCCCTTCTGGTGGGTTATTCACAGTATTATCCCAAGAGTTTACCCTTTCTCTCCATTTCATTGCCTTTCACTCTTTCCCCAATATCTTATTTTCCTTTATTTTCACACTTTTCTTGTATGTGCTCGGGCTTCATGACCGACGTACACCATTACAGGAAGTTATCTTTTTGTGCATCCAGGCATTTACACAAAACATGTTCTTCCTTTCCTGCAACCTTCCTATTGGTAACTTAAAAACACTTCTGTAAACTTAATTAAACAACCAATCAACATCCTGCACTTATCGTATTCAAATAATTACATCCCCCCCCCCCCTATAATATCTCACCCACTCATAACTTACTATACAAGGTCACCCCAACAGCCGTCCTCCAAGCAGCTGTGAACATTCTCCCCAAAAGTTACACAACAGTTGTATTGGAATCATTATCTTATTACTATTGTTCATTAATTCCTCATGTACAGTACAATACTTGTACTTCCCAAGGAGGAAAGTACTGAACATGATAATTTACATTTAGTAATCATTTAAATTTGATATATCCAAATTTGCTTTAATGGTTTAGGTAAATATGTAGCAGTAATGTATATCAGGTAAATGATTCTTATAAAGGCAAAGACTCTTAGATACAGTACAAGAAGGAAGGAACAAATAACAGACATAATATAATAAGAGGAGAGTGGAGAAAAATGGAGAAAGGAGATATGGATGAGAACAACTGTGAGCAGGTCATATACTGAGTGGTGATAGGAAGGAGGACGAGGAGAAGGGGGGTGTGGGTGTGTGTGTGTCTGTGTGTGTGTGTGTGTGTGTGTGTGTGTCTCTGTGTGTGTGTGTGTGCACATGTGTGTGTCTCTGTGTGTGTCTGTGTGTGTCTTCATACCTGTATATAAGAAGGAAACTTCTCCAGTAGTTTAATCTTCTTCTTGGTCCGCCAGTTACTTCTCTTTCGCCGGAGCTCCAGCACCTGGGGGTCTAGCGTGGCTTCTTCTCTGGCCTTCTCCTCTTCCTTCTTGCCCCGGGCACGAACTTGGAAACCTCCAATACCTTGTTCACGTGATGCAAGTTATAGTCAGACATATAAATGGAGTTTAAAAATAATAACTGTAAGATGTTTAGGTCAGGTGACGTTTACTGACAGATGAATTACAACATTACAATTTTGCTCACACCAACAATAACCACATATGATAGTTGTTGACACACAGTACAGTGGAGTCTTGACAATACACAAAATATAAATTCACATTCTTCAATTCACAGGCACCTCTACTACTGTCTTTTATAACCTGATGGTAAAACACTCATAACTTGTGACTGTTTACATAAAAAAATGTACAAGTTGAGGAAATATCATTTCATTGCTTTAATTTGCCTTGGAGATACTTTAAGTCCTCAATATAAGCAAACTCGCTCATTTGCGAAGACTCTATTCCCACCAGGAATTCAATTATTGCGAGCAAAATTGAGCCTTATGCAAGATGTCACTCTCCCTGATATGGATTCAACCCTGATGACTGCAGATGTCACTCCAACACTATGTACAATAGGGGGCAGGGAAAAAACACTTTTATTTGAGTTGCAGGCTGCACTTTTCAAGCATCGTTTGTATGGCTGTAACAAACACCTGTGCAAAATTTCATGCCATTTCAAGCATACTTACCCTGCCGCATCGCGAACGACTTTTTGTCAACTTTTAGTGTATACCAAAAATTAGGTGTCATTTAATGTTTTCCAGGATAATGATAAATTTTACATGGGTGACATCGATTTAATTCACATGTTATTTTACAGGTACACCGTATAGAAAATCATTACAAGTTCATATTGAAATTCTTTTTTGTGCGGAACCTTGGCATCATTTTCCTAGACAATAATCTTTGCCTAATATATCCATCTCTCGATTCGTATCCCGTCACTTCAGTGCAAGCTTCAGTCATCACTTTTATGCCTCTCTCGACCGCCTGAGTGCTGTTTGGCCACTTGGGCACCACTAATGGTGTCTCAAGAATGTCATTAACCTGTAGATTTGACAGAGAAGCAATGTAAGGAGGCTCAGTCTTGAGTTCATTCCTCCAGTTAATCATGGAATGATAGTTTTTTGCTTGCCACTTTAGTTTCGGAGTCACCACCTTTCTCATGTTGACTACAGGAGGCACATCCTCATTCCCATCTCCATCTTTACCCTCCTCATCAGTATAGTTTAACAAATTCTCGTCAACAGCAGCATCAGAATCTTCCTCCTCCTCTTCAGATCTGCCAGTGCATTCTTCCTTTTGCTGATTCTCCTCTCTAATTTTTCTTATCATTGAGACAGCTTTTTCTCTAACAGTCATGTCCTCATCTGCACACATACCAAGAAGAAGTTGATCTGTGTGGGCGAAGTATGCATTTCTCTGGACAGCCTTCTTCACTATCGTCTCCTCCTCACTATTCAGGTGTTTCATATATAGCAGGGACTGGAATACGTTCCTTGAGCCGTGTGTTACGTAAGGGTGTATCTTGATGTAAAACCACATTGGAGCACTGAACTTTATTATTGTAATGACAATTCTTTTCAACTCATGGCTGGGTCTTGATGTTGCTACATACAGCCTGAGGATTCTACTCCATAAGGTGTTCCACCTTGACACACAGGGAGGACCTGGCTCAATAGCAGCCAAGTCATCTTCAACAACACCTGTGATAACTCCTTTACAAATCCTATACAGGTATTTCTGATCCCAGGACAGATCTTTCTCCACTTCATCATTAAACACAGGGAAATCAGGGAAACTGACTGGCTGGAAGGCGACAACTGGAAGCTCAGACAAAGACTCCTTGATCTGCTTTCCAATGGGACCACGCCAATGCTCAGGACCACTTGGTTTACCATCATAGTGATAAAAAACTGCGCGGAAAGGCAGCTCATTTCCGTGAAGCTGACATATGAAATAATGGAGCGGGTGACCAAGTAACATTTCAAGATGATGAATGACTCCATTTTCTGATCCTACATTTACATTGGTTCCATCACAACCAACACACACAATGGGCTGCTGGGTTAGATTTTTCTCCACCAGAAACTCGTGAATAGTTTTGGCAATCTGCTTTCCGTGTCCAGTCTTGGGAGTCACATGTGTGAGATATTCATTGCCAGGCTCAACCATGATGACATAATGATCTTTCACCATCATCCTCGAACTCCATTTCTCGGTCTTCTCATTCTTTATCATCACACGAGTGGCGGTCTTCTTACCATCAAAATAGAGTGACGTCAAATTATCTAAACTAGCCATCTCAATTTCTTGCCTCTTAAATCGGTATTTTTGTCTCGCATCCCGCAGCTTATGTGGTCCAATAACCTGACTCTTGTCATCCTTTGTGATAATGCCATAGTCAGTTAAGGTGGCAGTAGCAATGGCAGCTCCAGCATAATCACTAATCAAGTATCGGTCACAAGCGGCAGCCAGTGTAGGGAGTCTTGTCCGGTTCTGTGAACTGGTGTCTGTCAGTGCCCTTGGATCAGGGACAAAATCAGCATCAGTATTGATGAGAGGAATATCTCTTGAATCATCTGAATTATCCTCAACATAAGGAATATCTCCAGCGATGAAAAAAAAGTTGATAAACACTGAACAGAACATTGCACCGCCACAGCGGCTGTTTGGCTAGTACTGTAGGTAAATTTAAAAATTTCAGTAGAAAATGCGGCAGACTAAACCTCGACATATCAGCTTCAAATTTGGCATGGAGTCTTAGATATGTATAAGGAACAATGCCTGAGGAGTGCAGCTTTGAGCAAATTTCACTGCCCCCTAATGTACAACCTCTACCGTCTTGTCTACCCAAGTTGATGTATCTGTTAAGTACACTGTTCTGTACACTTGCTTTATCTATTATTTTTCTATTGATTTGTTTTATGGTTTATTTGCCTTTAAAACGGGTCTGGAACATTTTCAGTTTGGGTTATGAAACACATCCTATTTTTTCCCATTTAACTAAGTCCAGTAGACCCTTGCCATTCACGGGTTTGCGATTTCGATGATTCGCGGTAAGCAGATGGTGGCTATGGTGGCAAGCCTGGGAGCCTTTTCCTGCAGCACAACGAGTCACCCACGCAGCATCTCGTGTTGTACTCTCCAAACTTTAGTGTTTCTGTGTGAAATGGCCCCTAAAAGGCTGCCTTGTGTCAGTGCTAGTGATGCTAGTGGAATGAAATGTAAAAGACAGAAGTCAGTGATGACCCTGACAAAGAAAGCTGTATTATTAGATAGGTTAAAAGAGAGGATGGGTGCTGCCATGGCTGGTCTGTTGTTTGGTACAGTAGTGCACTAAGGTAGTAAAAGGTAGCAAATTCGCGGTTTTGCCTATTAGTGCCATTCCTTGGAACCTGACCCCCACGAATAACAAGGGTTTTCTGTATTTGATATACTGTATGCGATTTCAATTTATGCAAAGGTTTCAGGACTGCATCCCTCACATATATCGAGGACTTACTATAAAGAAAATATAATATACAACTATAAAGTAAAAAAATTAATAGAAGGAAGTGGAAGGCAGGGCGGTTGGATAGTAGACTGAGTATCCCCACCTCCCCGTTCCCGAGCTGAACGTGCCCCCATCCTCATTTATATAACATAATAATAATAATAATAATAATAATAATAATAATAATAATAATAATAATAATAATAATAAAAGTATTTATATATTAAATTATCATACGTACAGGTTTACAATTGAATAAACATGTTTATAAACTACAGTGGGGTATGCTATAACGAACGGATCCTACTACGAATATTCCTATAACGAACGGTTTTACCTATAAAATTGAGAATGCTATAACGAACGAAACTCCTACAACGAACATTATTTTAAAAAAAACTTTTTTTTTTTACTAATTTATTGTTTTTTTATTACAAGTATTAATGATATTCTTTATTTCAGGGGTTTAGATGCATATTCATGCACTTTTTTTTACAATTTCTACAATTTTATATTATATTTTTCAGTGTTAAGTGGTTGTATTTGGGGGCCTGGAACGGATTAATCCTATAACGAACGAATGCTATAACGAACAAGGTTCTAGAACCAATTAGATTCGTTATAGCATACCCCACTGTATGCAGTTACACAGTGCAGGAGGGAGTATACTGTGTACTGAGACAGTGCAGGAGGGAGTATACTGTGTACCGAGACAGTGTAGGAGGGAGTATACTGTGTACCGAGACAGTGTAGGAGGGAGTATACTGTGTACCGAGACAGTGTGGGAGGGAGTACAGTGTGTGTAGGACAGTGCAGGAGGGTATACTGTGCGAGACAGTGTGGAGGGTATACTGTGTGAGACAGTGCAGGAGGGAGTATGCTGTGTGCCGAGACAGTGCAGGAGGGTATACTGTGTGCGAGACAGTGTAGGGGTATACTGTGTGCGAGACAGTGCAGGAGAGGGGGCATGTGGTGCGAGACCTGTGTGCGAGACAGTGTGGGAGGGTATACTGTGTGCGAGACAGTGTGGAGGGGTATACTGTGTGCAGAGACGGACAGTGTGTGCAGAGACAGCAGGAGGGGTATGCTGTGCCGAGACAGTGTGGGAGGGTATACTGTGTGCAGAGACAGTGCAGGGAGGGAGTATATGTACAGTGTGTATGTGAGACAAGTGTGCAGGAGGGAGTATACTGTGTACCGAGACAGTGTAGGAGGTGAGTACTGTGTACCGAGACAGTGTAGGAGGAGTATACTGTGTGCGGACAGTAGGAATCGGTGCGAGACAGTGTAGGGGGGTATACTGTGTAACAGACACTGTGTGCAGGGACAGTGTAGGGAGGGATCACTGTGTAGAGACAGTGTAGGAGGGTACTGTGTGCGAGACAGTGTAGGAGCGAGACAGTGCAGGAGAAATACTGTGTGCAGAGACAGTGTAGGAGGGAGTATACTGTGTACCGAGACAGTGTAGGGGGGAGTAGACTGTGTACCGAGACAGTGTAGTACATGTGTACCGAGACAGTGTGGGAGGGAGTATACTGTGTACAGTGCGAGACAGTGTACGGGAGGGAGTATACTGTGTGTGCAGACAGTGTAGGAGGGAGTATACTGTGTACCGAGACAGTGTAGGAGGGGGTATAGGAGTACTGCAGTGTGTGCAGACAGTGGAGGAGTATACTGTGTGCCGAGACAGTGTAGGAGGGGCTACTGTGCCGAGACAGTGGAGGGAGTATACTGTGTGCGAGACAGTGTAGGAGGAGTATACTGCCGAGACATGTGCAGGAGGGTAGGGTATACTGTGCATGGGAGGACTACTGTGTGCAGGACAGTGTAGGAGGGGTATACTGTGCGAGACACTGTGTATACCGAGACAGTGCAGGAGGAGTATACTGTGTACCGAGACAGTGCAGGAGACAGTGCAGGGAGGGATGACAGGACTGTGCTGTAGACACTGTGTGGGAGGGTAGAGGACTGTGTGCACTGTGTGAGACAGTGTAGGGGGAGTATATGACAGTGTGTATACTGTGAGACAGTGTAGAGAGGGAGTATACTAATTATACTGTGCCGAGACAGTGTAGAGGGGTATACGGAAGTAGTGTCGGAGACATGTGTAGTGATGGGAGTATACTGTGTACATGTGCAGACAGTGTAGAGGGGAGTATACTGTGTACCGAGACAGTGTGGGAGGGGTATATACTGTGTGTGAGACAGTGTGGAGGGAGTATACTGTGTGTGAGGGACAGTGCAGGAGGGAGTATACTGTGTGCGAGACAGTGTGGGAGGGAGTATACTGTGTACGAGACAGTGTAGGAGGGGCTGTGTAGGGGGGAGTATACAGTGTGTGGAGACAGTGCAGGAGGTATACTGTGTGTGTGCGAGACAGTGAGGGTGCATGTGCCGAGACAGTGTAGGAGTGTGTATACTGTGTGCGAGACAGTGTAGGGAGGGAGTATAGTATGCTGACAGTACTGGTATGCTGTGTGCCCAGTGTGTGGTATACTGTGTATACTGTGTGTGCAGTATAGGAGGGGTGCGAGATTGGTGTGCGGGAGTATACTGTATACTGTGTGCCGAGACAGTGTGTATGGTGTGTACTGTGTAGGACGAGAGTGTGGGAGGGGTACGGAGTGACTGTGTACAGGACAGTGTAGAGCTACCACTGTGTGCAGTGTGGAGGGAGTATACTGTGTACCGAGACAGTGTAGGAGGGAGTATACTGTGTACCGAGACAGTGCAGGAGGGAGTATACTGTGTACCGAGACAGTGTAGGAGGGAGTATACTGTGTACCGAGACAGTGTAGGAGGGAGTATACTGTGTACCGAGACAGTGTAGGTAAACAACAATGGTAACTTGACCAAGGGTAACCAACAAAGCTGTCAGCTGCTTATATCCAGGAGGTCCTTTGTTTAGGCTTACTCTTGGTCTCTAATCAGTAATAGTATGTCTACAGAAGTGCTCTATTGTGAAAACATATTTGATGCAATTCAACAAGTACTGCATTGTTCTTGGACTATCCGAGGCTGGTGGATCACTACCACAGTTCTACATTAACAAGTTCCACCATAATTCTCATATTATTTAGGTTTATTTAGTACCTGGTTGATAAAACATTATTATAAAATAATCAATTTTCACACAAAAAATAAAATAAATCCCAAATTAACCCCAGATGAGTTACTGTGTGATATACAATTCCTGGTTCTTTGTGGTCGCACTTACCCCAGCCCGGCATATGGCAGTCTCCACGTTGGTGTAACCCACACAAAATTATAAGCAGAAATGGAGTTGTTTATGTAATGTAGAACTACTTTTTGTATAATATCTATGTGTTACTGTATTTTCTGATGTATTATATATGATGTTTAGTGATTATTAAGCATCTTTGGAAAAGTTTATGACTATTTCTTGGCTTCTGGAACCAAACTAATAATTTCCATTTCAATCAATTAAAACTATAGTCCACGATATGATAATTAATGACGTCTTCTGGCACCTAAACCGAGAATTATCAAAACTCTACCGCATCAACTATATACGGTATCCTGATAATCCAAACCAACCTAAAGTTTTGATGTTGCGGTATCTGCGCTTTCTTAATGTGAACGTTCCAGGCTCGGGACCAGGCAACGTGTAGAACCCTTCTGGCAGGTCTGGTGGTGTTCCGTCCTCCTGTAGAGAGTAAATACCACAAGGGTTGTACAGTACAGTATATGCATTTAGTATGTACATCAAAAAGTACTCAGTCTTGAATAACATTTGGATGATGCAATGTTTAATATGAGTCTTAATTAAAAAAAAACTTCCCCATCAATCAACAAGTACATTAATATTTACAACATTATAGTTTATAAATGTCACATAAGTCTTCTTTACACTTGGTTGTCATTGAAATGAAATGGCTGGTAAGGTCCCAAGTGTAACAGAAATTAGTTGTGTGGTTCGCAGACCAATGAAAGCTCACAGGTTAAAGGAGAGTGGATGTAGGAGTGCTGGGATATTCCTAACTGTTTACAAAATACAGGCAATTTAATGGAAAAGTCTTATATGTAGAATCAAAGATCATAAATCACACCCATCACCCTGGGGCCCTGCATGATTAAAACAAAACATTAAGAATATTGTGAGAGGACAGGACCTGTTTTTAAGTACAAGTCAATAGGCTAAAAGAAAAATTTCCTTAATCAAATGTGAAGAATAAACATGTAAGATAACCATTTTAAATATGCAACAGTAATTGAGGCATTGTTGATATTTTGTCTAAAAACAGAAACACTTTAGAAATGTAAAAAGTTAATTCCAAACATGATTAAAATTGAAAATATAATCCCCAAAACTGTCCTGCACAGCGATGGGCTTTTTCAGTTCACAGTATATTAACATGAAGTTTACAGGAAAGTGATGTGCAAGGTATGGAATCAATGTGTAATTTTGTAATGCCATGTAAAGATTTTATATGGATAGTAAAGCAAGTATCAAACTAGATTGTTAAGAGAATAACTGGTTAGAAGGTGTGCGTCAAGGACGTCACCCTGGTTGGTCAATATCCTTCAAGGATGGAGCAGTAACAGAAGTACTGGATCAAGAGGCAAGTTTGGCAGCTTAATAAGAATACAGGTTACAAATGGGAGATGAATCACCTTCTGGTTGTATATGATACTGCCCCGTTGGGTGACGCCAAAGAAAATTCAACCAAGTTTGTGGATGACTTAACAAGATAGACAAATAATGTAAATATAGAAGGAAGAGAAAGAGAGAGAACTAATGGTATGTTTGAATGGAAAAAGTTAACTAATTCAGACATCTTGGAAAGGATGTATTGACTCATGGACCAAAATGGTTAACGAATAAATTGACAGCAGAGGGCAAGAAAGTAACAGATAAATTATAACATATATGGAGAGAGTAATACTAATATACTCTACTTGAGAGAACTGTGTAAGGCACTCAAAAGAACTGTGTAAGGCACTCGAGAGAACTGTGTAAGGCACTCGAGAGAACTGTGTAAGGCACTCGAGAGAACTGTGTAAGGCACTTGAGAGAACTGTGTAAGGCACTTGAGAGAACTGTGTAAGGCACTCGAAAGAACTGTGTAAGGCACTTGAGAGAACTGTGTAAGGCACTTGAGAGAACTGTGTAAGGCACTCGAAAGAACTGTGTAAGGCACTTGAGAGAACTGTGTAAGGCACTTGAGAGAACTGTGTAAGGCACTTGAGAGAACTGTTTAAGGGTGAACACTGAACAGGATGGTAAGAATAGAGAAAGCACATGGGGAGACAGTATATATATGTATGACAGGAGAGATACAGAGTTGACCACAGATTGCTGATGTGATATGGATAAGAGAGAGATAATGGGATGCAAGAGACTGGCAACAGGAGGGAGGAAGACCAAAATGGAGACGGACAATTGAGGTGAAAAAGAATTCGGCAGGGATGGGAGGGAGTGTGAGATGCACTTGCCTCATAATTAATTTTAAAAAAAATCATTTTGTGGTATGGAATAAAAATCTCAGATCTTTACTCGCTACCTGTGTGTGATGTTGTTACCCTTACCCTCCCATACACCACCTCTCTCCCTGCCTGCTGAATTCTTCTTGTTCACAACTGTATAGTGTAGTAGTAGTAGAGTCTGTGATAGGTAGAACAGCCAGCATAACATAAGTGGATCATAGGATGTGACACCCGGCACACTGAATAAATGAAGAGGAGTTAACGAGGAATCTGTTTTCACTCTTGATTCCGGCCATCCTGGGAAATGGCTCCCAAGAAAAGTGCCACAGAGGAAACAATATTACAGAAACAAACAGTTTTTAATTAAACAAAAGATTCAGCAATATCATCCAATGACAATTTGTCAAACTGCATGATCAAAATGTTTGTGTGTTTCAAATATAATATAAACTGGCTGAGGCGCTGAGTTTATAACCAGAATAGTTTGTTTACCAAGGATCACCATCACCTACAAACAAAACAATTGCCTGTATGGTCGACTAACTAACCTACTTCAACTAGAATTTGTTTTCTTTAACTTGCTTCACATAAAATAACAGTTACATCTGTAATTTATTCATTTATCACTGTTAATCATAAAAGAAGTTAGCCAAAGTTCCTACCTTTGCTTGTAAAATTGTTCCTTCCTTCATGCCATACACCCAGTGTTTTGGTTCTTCATTATCTAGTTTATTATCTTCATCGTCGTCATCGTCGTCATCAACGTCCCGACTCCCACTACTGTCTATCGACGGTCCACGACTGGTACGGACTGTTTTGGGGTTCCTGTTGTGTGTGATGATGCTAATTTGAGAATTAGTTACAAAATGAGTGACTCCTGTTCCTGGATGGCAAATGTTACAGCAAGGGAACAACAACTAAACTACTGCACAAATCTATGACCATTCAGTGACAAGCATTACGCAACAAGTCCCCTCTCACTGACCATCTCAGGCCTGTGTCCACAACGATTTACTTCATCACTCTTGGCAATCGCTAGAGATATGAGCTTTGACGGAGTCTTACGCAATTAACAAAAATGACCGGACAAATAAAAAAAATCAATAAATGTCTATCTGAATGACGCTGACTTATTTGAGCCACGAAGAATCTTAACACAGTATGTTACAAGAGCAGTGCAGGAAACATTTGAGGAAGGAACTGACAGGCCTCTCACACCAACAATAATTCCTTCATCCACTATTTTCATCTGGTCATAATGCGGTGGACCAATGCGCTATCATCAATCTCCATATACAGTACAAGTTGCTATTTGTACAAATTTCCCTCATTTATTCCTTTTAGTTTTACTTTTGTATAAGTTTTTGTTTAGACTTTTATTAACTTGCTAATGTGCAGCTTTTGATTACTTGAAACATTTCCCCTAGTTTAAGCAAGAGACAGCCACTTTAATGCTGTACTGTACATCCAGAGTTCATTACTGTGAGTCTCACTTGAATGGGTTATATAGAACGTCTCTAGACCATCCTCAACACAGTACAGTAATTACCATTATTTATTCTCGCCCACCGGGGATTCCCACTTGGCCTGCACTGCCTCTCTACCAAGGCTAAAACTGTCTTCAAATTATTCTTCATCACCATTTAAAGTTGTGCAAATTTCACAAATCAAAATGTATGGTCAATCTTTTGCCACCTGTGACTGCTGGCTCTACTGCTGCCCTACATGGTGGAGATGGTCTGTATTGTCTTCTTGAAGGTAAAGGCAAGTGTGCATGTTCTTGGTCTTTTCCCTGCACATAAAGCCTCTCCTTATACCATCATGCTGCCGTATAAAGCCCCAACCAGCTGTCTATCTCCCTGAAGCAGCTGGAGTCAATGACTTATAAAAACCTACTAAAGTCTTTCCTGTTTTTGAAAGCATAAGATCATGATAGTTTTCTAATAGATCAAGATTACTGTGTGTTTTTTTAACTAACTAACTGTTGCTGCTAGAGGTATAAAGCTGAGCAAGTCTGTTGTCTTGTTGAATGTTACTGAATTATTTTACCCTGAAGACAACTGGTAGTTCCAAGATATTATAAACAAACTTTCAGTATTATCATAGATACATTCTTCTGCCCCTAGTAGCTACTGCACTCATTCAAGTCACTTTCCACTGTGTAGCAACAGGGTGGTGCCTTGAGTCACATGTAAACGTACTCTCTCTTAATTCACTCAACCTTATGATATCGTAGTTCTCACTTTTCACTTAGTTCCTTAATAATCCAGGAACTACTGTACTTTGAATAAATCTTATTTCAAGATATTGTTTCCATACTAACTGCAGATGCCGCACCAACGCTCACTGTTGTGATCTTTCAATGTCTTCAGCACCAGAAGGTCAAATTCTAGTTTCCAGTTGGCATGATTTATTTTTTCCACTGTTAAATTATTTCAAAAATTTATTGCATATGGAATAAATTAAACCAAGAAAATTTGGCTCTCGTGGTGTCGTTAATATTGGTGTTAATTTATTTTCATTCGTTGATAATGAAATATTGGAATGGTGCAGGGTGGCTGGCCACGACCTGCTCTGATCTTTAACATTCAGCAGCTAGTGGACTGATACTCCCCCTTACTAGGATGGTAGTCCACTGAAGGCTTGTTCCACCATCAGCAGGCCAACCAGGTAATGTATTCACTGACTGATGACCACCAAAGGGCTGCTGCACTAGGAGGGAACCCAGTTCTCCAGTCAGGAACCAAACACACGACCATGCTCAGTTCCTTTATTTTCTGTAAGCTTTATAATGTTTCTAGCTTGACCAATACTTTTGACCATTTACCAGAGGCACCAAGCCAGCTGAAAATTAAATCTCAGCCATCTGTGGCCACCTTGAAATGTAGTTAGTTTCAACTCCCAAATCATACCAAGCAAGAACTGTCTACAAATGTAAAAAAGCATCAACATTTATCAACAGTAAAGTGGGGGACTTGTTGAGTACATCACAGGTATACTAAATCTACGAGTTCATTAACAAGCAACAGACAACATATTGACATCTGCTTCAGTTAATAAATTTTAAATTTCAGTTTTAAGCTCAGAAGCAAAAAAATTATATTTTAAATTCTTAAACTTTTGTATTTAAAAAAGAAAACAAGTTGTTGGGTTTAAACAATTGCATCTACATTCTACAGTAAGACTTATCACTACTTTTAAGAATTAAAAAATCTATTTCCATATTGCAGAACAAGTGGGAGAACACTGTACATCACAGTCATACCTGGGCTTCTTCTGTGGCTCTAGGGTCATAGTCTTGATCTGGAACATTCCACATTCAGAGAGGCAAATACCGTCCACCCAGAACTGAGCCTTGGAGGTAACCTGTCACATTAATTAATCATAAATTTATCTCTTTCTTTAACTGCCTATTTACACAATGTATCCCTGTGTACAGTATAGAGACCACCATTCTGAATAAGCCTCAACCTTTGAGCCAAAAACCCTAAATAAGCAAAGAATTTCCTCCACCTAAGGCCACATTGTGGTCCAAATATGTCTAACAAATAACAATGATGTGACGTAATAACAAAACAACTCCAGCTAAAACTTATCAAGGAATATAAATGTTTCAATAAATAATGTTTACAAAAGACATCACTACTGTATAAGTACTGCAACACTGTGATGACAGCACATTACCTTGGTCATCATGTCTATGGGACTCTGAGCACGCACTGGACTTGCTGTAGTTGTGGTCGTGACAGTTGGCGTGTGCATAATTCTGGCGGAACGTACCGGTGGAGTGTGAGGCAGTAGATGGGCCGGCAGTGCCTCATGAGGCCGGCACATTAGACACAGGTAACCTTTTTCTGCACATCTGCACAAGTAAATCATTCCCACTATTAAAGTTTATTCCCAAAACAATAAATATGTATCATGATTTGGCTCAATGAGTCACACTTATAGAAGCACAGGTAAGGGAGGCAAGTTTTAACTGACCACCATTAACATTGAAGACACTTAGTGGCGTGACACTCGTCCTCAAAGACAACACTTTATAACACGTCAAACAACACTTAGTGGCGTGACACTCGTCCTCAAAGACAACACTTTATAACACGTCAAACAACACTTAGTGGCGTGACACTCGTCCTCAAAGACAACACTTTATAACACGTCAAACAACACTTAGTGGCGTGACACTCGTCCTCAAAGACAACACTTTATAACACGTCAAACAACACTTAGTGGCGTGACACTCGTCCTCAAAGACAACACTTTATAACACGTCAAACAACACTTAGTGGCGTGACACTCGTCCTCAAAGACAACACTTTATAACACGTCAAACAACACTTAGTGGCGTGACACTCGTCCTCAAAGACAACACTTTATAACACGTCAAACAACACTTAGTGGTGTGACACTTGTCCTCAAAGGCAACACTTTATAACACGTCAAACAATAATGGTTTTCTTTTTCCATCTCCTGCTCTAAACAATTCATCTTTTATCATCTTTCCCCATTTGTCTACCAGCAAACTTTGTTTCTTTTCACACATTGTTATTTGAGATAAAGCAGCACCTCACATGACTAAAACATTTAAGGGAACATTCTAACAATATCCCATAGGTCTTTAATAGTGAAAGTGTTTGTAAAATCTATAACAAGAATATATGAAGTATGTTATGCATGACCCATTCTGCTGTAAGAGCAAGAAAATATTCTATGATATCTAGAATATTTTTAGCCTGAATAAGTATTAAGAGGAAAGACTTAATTAGAAAGATTTATGCCGTACCTTTCAGCATCCTCCTCGGTGAGGATCATGTCATCAGAGGCGTGCAGCCAGCGCTCACAGTTAGAGCACTGGATGATCAGTTCACCATCAGCATATGGTTCATTACACACCTGACACTGTGTCATGGACATACAAGGACCACACATACTGTAGTTCTGCTGCCAGGTAGCATTAGGACCAGGATCAGTCGCCCCACAGTGAAGACACATGGCACACCTGTGTAAGTTGTACTTCATTATAGCCTAACTGACAAGGATAAACAAGTAAAGACTCAAATATCACCATCAGTGTTTGAATACTGTACTACAGTACTGTACTAGTAAAGTCGAAATGTGGGATAGTTCAGTAAGGCCAGAGCCCCATATGTGCCGAGTTACTAAGGTTTTACTTATATCTATGGAAGATAATGGAACTAAAATCTAATTAGTTTTTATATATTCACACACACACACACAATGCAGGGAACACTAATGACAACTGTAGAGAGAAGCGTACCAACATGAGGTACTTTCATAATGACTTATTTACTTTACAGTACAGTCTGCTGAATAAATACTTCTTAATGTATTAAATCTGAGTGAAAACTAAAAGAATGACAACTCAAGTAAGCTTATCTCTTAACTTTCTATACACCTGACAGTCTTATGTTGTTAATGAAAGTAGAAAGACTAATAACTTAAATACCCTTACAACCTACCATTTACATCTCCATACACCAGATGGCACATGGTCCAGAGGAGGCTTCATGCAGTATATGTGATAGGAGATGTCACAGTCTTCACACAGAACGAGCCGAGCTTCATCGTTGCGTTCACCACAGCCCTCACACACAGTGCAGTCCAAACACCGCCATCCCTTCTGTAGTACTACCTTCGTCACCTTGGAGTCAAACAGAAAATTAACAATGGCACAGTTATTATCATGTACTGTAGTTCATACATCAACACCGACTCATGCGGTGAGACCATTAGCTGTGTGTGTGATAGGTCATGTAATCACTACAAGACCATCTCGTACCTCCCTGTTATCCCTTCTGTGTTTTTATCTGAGTCTCACAATACTGTGCTGTATAGATATGCTGTACATTGTCAAGGTGTAAGCATCATGTCATGAGGTAAGAGTGACATGCATCATTTTGGACAGCAAAACTTTATGACACGATTTTAATTAAGGAAGACAATACAGTGTCACTATACAGTAGTTTTATTGTAACTTTAAGCATTTAAGCATAACTCTTTGAAAGACAAGCTTAAAGAATAAGCAGTATGTTCACACTAATTGTGTTAAATCCTCGCCACTACCGAGTTAAGTTTCCACAAGAATACAGTATTTGATTTCTATTCACACACGGATAAAACTCACATAACTGATTCTTCCTTGAAAATTAAGCAAAACAAGTTAGAGATGGAACCTTGGGTATGATATCATCAGAGTAAAATTCCAAATATATCAGCAATACCTAATTTATAAGCACACACTGTTCCAGACTGTAAAGCTTTATCAAATACAGAGCTGAAATTCCTTACCTTAACATTAGCACAGAATGGATGATAACACTGCCCACACTGAGCACATGCAATGAGGCGACCTTCTTGATCTTGTCCAAAGGCCCCACACATAGCACACACATCTTGTTGAAGACAGAACTCATCACCAGTAGACACAAGGATAAGTTTGTTTTCTTCTCCCTCCTCCTTTCCAGAACTATGGTTGGACTCCATCACCTAAGCAACAAACAAAACAATGAATTATGATAATGTTACATAATTTTTACGAATAACAGCAAAAAATATTTCTGTAAAAGTTTATCAGAATGGAAACACCTGAATATGTCTATTTCTCATTTAAACACAATTTATGCAAATTCTTTTTATATTTGCAATTTTAGTTGAACAAGATTTAATGAAATGACATATTCCAAAGAGTTACAGGTTGACCATCAAAAATCCGGCAATCGATAAACCGGAACCTTCAGTTTTCCGGCATGGATTCCGGAGTGCATTTTCAAATATTTCTTTGTTTATTTAATGAAGATAAATGTTTTAGCTCATAAAATCCATACAAATTACCTGGCCAGAATATAATTTACATTGCTGGAATTCTTACAATTTGATGATCATTTTGAATATAAACATCATAGATTTTGCATTAGACATACAAATTTTAGATATAATGTTTACTCTGAGTAAATATGTTATCTTTTGTGCAAAATATATGACAGTCATATTCAAAATATTCCTGGTCTTACAAGGAATCCAGCAATGTCAATTATATTATCCAAACTTAAGTGTTTAATTTTCTTTGTTTAAAGGACTGTACAGGTAGTCATTTTCTGTTAAACTTATACAGCAAATATAACCATCAGTTTTCCGGCATTTTCGAAAATCCGGCACTCCTCAGGTCCCGAGGTTGCCGGATTCTTGATAGTCAACCTGTACCAGAAACAAAAAAATGGAGCAATTGACTATTTTCTGTTTATTTTGGATATGTAAAACAAGCACCACCCATATTATCTTGTGCCAGCACATAATTGGCTACTGTAAGTATGACCACAACGTAGCCAATTTTTGGCCAATTTACAGTAATGCACCTTATCACAATAACTGCACCACATCAGGACATGTGCCTAGCTCAAGAAGCTAAAAATTTTTGCCTCTATTTGCTTCAAAGTGTCAGTCAATGATTCCCGAGTACTTTATTGCATGAATCTCCAATTTTGAGAACACACATGATCCTCAAATTATTCTGTAAGTCCTGAAACACAATTTAAAATAAACAGCTTCAGTTTAAACATGTATATATAATGGTGAGGGGCAGGCAACAGTCCCTCCCTTCATTAGCTGTCATTCTTACTATTGTAAAAGTTGTGTTGTACCACCTTGTTCCCCTTATGTAAAATGTCCCAAGGTTTCCATTTAAAAATCTGCATTACTACACAACGTTATGACCCAGAGGTGAAGGAAAATGGTTTTAAAGATCAGCAGAGGACAGACCCACACCATAAGGTTATCTCAAAACTTACCTGAAGGGAGATGTTCTGATAGTTGAAGTAACCTCTGTATCCTCGTCCATTGCCTCGACCCCTACGGATTGGCATCGTCTGACCTCGTTTTTTGGAGCCGGACACGGCTTTCTTCCCGACCCCACATTTTTCTCCGGCACCTCCCCGTAATCTTGGAAGAAATCCTCCTCCCCTCTTAGCCAAGCTGAGAGGTTTTCCACGTGAAAAGAAACTACTCTGAGGTTTTGGAACAGAGGAGGTGTCTTCAGATTTACCCTCTGATGTTAAGTCTGTGTCGTTGGAATCTTCTGAGTGAGCCGACGAGTCTGGAGGCCCATCACAACTGTCATCTTGGGCTGTAAGACAAAACACACATGTAAAATTAGCCAAACATAACACTGAGAGAGAAAGAGTAGATACATCAAACTGAATAACAGACTTTTGGTACACAGTGTGGCAGTATAGTCAACACATCAACAACAGGTCACACTTTAGGGGGAACAAGCAACCCTTAAGAGGATGCCAGCGCTATCCATTCTGCCAGCACACCTCAGACATTAATGTTTGGTTTACAAAATACGGGCCTGCGGTATATTTTGTACGCACACACACATAGCCAACTTACTGATCCGTGGTGACTGGCTTGGTGACGGAGCTACTCTGTTACAGCTGGTGCAGATATATTCAAAGTTGTGATCTGCATTCCACTTGGTCTGGATTGCACTGAGGTCTGCGTCAATATCACACGAGCTATGGACATGCCTGAGAGGAGACAAAACATATCAATATTCAGAAAATTAAGTAAAAAGACAAAATTTTAATATTTATCCCACTAACTGATGTAAAAGTTGAATATAATGACAGTGAATAAAGGTAATATGATTCTTCAATGTCCACACCACCTCCCAAGAACACCCCTCATCTCATCCTTCTACCCCCTTCAGGGTTTTCCCCCTCCTTCCCCTCTCTGTCTTGTATTGAATACTTTCTTTCACACACTTCACTCCTCACATCACACACTTCATTCCTCACATCACTCCCTCAACATAACTCCTACCAGTGGTGTGTGGATGTGACCACCAGCTGTCACCATATCGTGCGTGAGGTGTACGGTATCACCTAACAATACATCAATGTTCCATCATTTCTTCACTCCACACACTACTTTCAAGCACATCATTCCCATCACCTCCAAATGGTTTCTTCTTGCTTCTTGGCTCCATGCTTTACCACTGTTTAATGTTGGCTCAACTGTTCCCCGATACATGCCCATCTTTGACATGTACAGTCCAGTACAGTATAGGGAGGCTGAGAATTACTGACACCTTCACAAGGCTGTAGCGACCCACCTGGTTCCCACCCACCCAGCATAACACAAACATCCCACTGTATATCTTGAGGTTCAGATCAAATTGAGGTCATTGATGAAGCTTGACTAACCTCCTATAGTACACCTGATAACTTGGTGGAGGTTTCAACCACTCACTAGTACAGCAGTTTCCCTCCCTGCACCCTTAACACAGGTCAAGTAACAAATAAGGCAAGGAGTTAGAAATAAATTCTGGTCAAAAATATGGTTCAAATCAATGTTTTGGGTTGGTTGAAATTATCAATGTAAGAATAGTGATTATCTGGGGGATAAGTGTGGTGTATACAATACTGTACTTCCAGCATTCTTTCCTAAGTTGAGATAATGTACTGTACCAGTTACCTCAGATACACACCTTTTACACTTTGTACACTGAGCCATGTTTTTCTGGGCTATTGCCCGATATGCTTTATGGCAAATTGGACAAGCAAGACCTTTATTGCGAAGCTGGTAACAAGAGTCACACACTGTAAAGTTGGAATGCCAACGTGACGATAATCCATTCCCCGGTGTTCGAGAACCACAGTCTCCACACACACGACAAGTCTGTTGATGAAGTAAATAAAACATGAGAAAATTAATACACTTTGGACATACACACACACACTGTACTGTATGTATACTATCTATCAGAATAAGGACGAACAATTCAGAATCCTCAAAGCTTTTTAGGATAAAAATAACTCATCATATATAATATATTATACAGTACATACTTCTATCAGAGATAAAAAACAAACACACACAAAATTATTAGTGACAAAAGGCTGGACACTTTGGAGTTGATAGTATGGTTCAGCTACAACATTATTAGTGACAAAAGGCTGGACACTTTGGAGTTGATAGTCTGGTTCAGCTACAACATTATTAGTGACAAAAGGCTGGATACTTTGGAGTTGATAGTATGGTTCAGCTACAACATTATTAGTGACAAAAGGCTGGACACTTTGGAGTTGATAGTCTGGTTCAGCTACAACATTATTAGTGACAAAAGGCTGGACACTTTGGAGTTGATAGTCTGGTTCAGCTACAACATTATTAGTGACAAAAGGCTGGACACTTTGGAGTTGATAGTCTGGTTCAGCTACAACATTATTAGTGACAAAGGCTGGATACTTTGGAGTTGATAGTCTGGTTCAGCTACAACATTATTAGTGACAAAAGGTGGACACTTTGGAGTTGATAGTCTGGTTCAGCTACAACATTATTAGTGACAAAAGGCTGGATGCTTTGGAGTTGATAGTATGGTTCAGCTACAACATTATTAGTGACAAAAGGCTGGACACTTTGGAGTTGATAGTCTGGTTCAGCTACAACATTATTAGTGACAAAAGGCTGGACACTTTGGAGTTGATAGTCTGGTTCAGCTACAACATTATTAGTGACAAAAGGCTGGATACTTTGGAGTTGATAGTATGGTTCAGCTACAACATTATTAGTGACAAAAGGCTGGACACTTTGGAGTTGATAGTATGGTTCAGCTACAACATTATTAGTGACAAAAGGCTGGACACTTTGGAGTTGATAGTATGGTTCAGCTACAACATTATTAGTGACAAAAGGCTGGACACTTTGGAGTTGATAGTCTGGTTCAGCTACAACATTATTAGTGACAAAAGGCTGGATACTTTGGAGTTGATAGTCTGGTTCAGCTACAACATTATTAGTGACAAAAGGCTGGATACTTTGGAGTTGATAGTATGGTTCAGCTACAACATTATTAGTGACAAAAGGCTGGACACTTTGGAGTTGATAGTCTGGTTCAGCTACAACATTATTAGTGACAAAAGGCTGGACACTTTGGAGTTGATAGTCTGGTTCAGCTACAACATTATTAGTGACAAAAGGCTGGATACTTTGGAGTTGATAGTCTGGTTCAGCTACAACATTATTAGTGACAAAAGGCTGGACACTTTGGAGTTGATAGTCTGGTTCAGCTACAACATTATTAGTGACAAAAGGCTGGACACTTTGGAGTTGATAGTCTGGTTCAGCTACAACATTATTAGTGACAAAAGGCTGGACACTTTGGAGTTGATAGTCTGGTTCAGCTACAACATTATTAGTGACAAAAGGCTGGACACTTTGGAGTTGATAGTCTGGTTCAGCTACAACATTATTAGTGACAAAAGGCTGGATACTTTGGAGTTGATAGTCTGGTTCAGCTACAACATTATTAGTGACAAAAGGCTGGACACTTTGGAGTTGATAGTCTGGTTCAGCTACAACATTATTAGTGACAAAAGGCTGGATACTTTGGAGTTGATAGTCTGGTTCAGCTACAACATTATTAGTGACAAAAGGCTGGATACTTTGGAGTTGATAGTCTGGTTCAGCTACAACATTATTAGTGACAAAAGGCTGGATACTTTGGAGTTGATAGTCTTCAGCTGTGACAAAAGGCTCTTTGGAGTTGATAGTCTGGTTCAGCTACAACATTATTAGTGACAAAAGGCTGGACACTTTGGAGTTGATAGTCTGGTTCAGCTACAACATTATTAGTGACAAAAGGCTGGATACTTTGGAGTTGATAGTCTGGTTCAGCTACAACATTATTAGTGACAAAAGGCTGGATACTTTGGAGTTGATAGTCTGGTTCAGCTACAAAATTATTAGTGACAAAAGGCTGGATACTTTGGAGTTGATAGTCTGGTTCAGCTACAACATTATTAGTGACAAAAGGCTGGACACTTTGGAGTTGATAGTCTGGTTCAGCTACAACATTATTAGTGACAAAAGGCTGGACACTTTGGAGTTGATAGTCTGGTTCAGCTACAAAATTATTAGTGACAAAAGGCTGGATACTTTGGAGTTGATAGTCTGGTTCAGCTACAACATTATTAGTGACAAAAGGCTGGACACTTTGGAGTTGATAGTCTGGTTCAGCTACAACATTATTAGTGACAAAAGGCTGGACACTTTGGAGTTGAAAGTCTGGTTCAGCTACAACATTATTAGTGACAAAAGGCTGGATACTTTTAATCTTTTAATCCACAAGAGTTAAAATGATGTTCAGGGAAAGTTGATATACTGTACGTGTTATTTTTTGTGCACTGGGGGAAGGGTGACGGTAAATCACTGCAGCTGTAAGTAAGAGACTGATACAGTATAATTATCATGCCTCATAAATTAATGTTGTTGTAGTAGTTAGCAAAGGTCCATGAGGTGAAACATGTACCTGTACTGGAAGGTTAGGTGTTGCCACTAAGCACAAAAGATCTACTATAGTACTGGGTGACTGAACACCACACCATGCACCTTTTCTGGTGACCAATGCTGTACTAGGGAGTCAGAAAACCTCCAAGCTCTCAAAATAAAATAACTCTTTCATCTCGCATACACCGCTGTAAAGAAAACGCGTCTGAAAATGAGTTTGTAATCGTATACAGTATTAGTAGTGAATGAGAAATAAGCTGGTACTGTATATGCTAATTATAACTGAAGCAACACACACAAACATGCAAAGGCCTTACTTCATAATTTGTTTAGTGAATCTGGTACAGTTACATCAACTCCAATTAAATGGTGAGACACAAAAAGCATTCTAAACAGATCTCCAAATACAACACAAGTACAGTAGTTATTAGGGAAATTCCTCAATATTTACATCTATTGGAAGAGAAACAGTTTTATTATATCAGAGAGCTTGTCTTCCTTTACTTCAGCACAGTAACTTATAAGTACTAACGTCCTATTAAACCTGACCTGACCTGACCTGACCACACAGAGAACTCACAGTAAGTCCGAGACACACTCAGTCACACATCAGACCACAGAAGCATCTCCTTGACTCTACTCAGCCTCAGGTGTTCAGTACAAGGAGTTACAACACACCAGATATAAATCTTAATGAAACAATGGAGAAAAATTTCCTATCCATAATTAATATCAATTAGCTGCCAGTCTCCGTACTGTACCGGGTAAACCCAACACTGACTAACATGGAAAGGAAGTCCTGTAGAAAAGGTTACACTAAGCTACCACACTTATGATTAAAAGAAAAAGTTTATTTCTTAAAACAAAATCAAAAAACAGGAGACTGGAATACAAAAATATATATTGTATGAATACGCACTATTACTTCTCAACCTACAGCATATTGTAATATTTTAAAACTGGGCTGAGAAAAAAATCTTACAAAGGATGATACCATAAGCATCTAGTGTGAGGCAGACTTGTGGCTTAACCAAACAGACATATACCCTGAATGGTGCCAACACACTGCACCAACAGATCTGTTCTTCACATGACAAACACAGAAGCTATCAGGAAATTATGAGAAAAAGAGAAACCAAACTAAAATAAGAGAATAAAAATATTTACATCAGTGAGGAACAAACCCATAGGACTTATTGCAACATTTTCAGGCAAATTTATGCTTCTCTATCTGAGGCATTTTTGTTGAGGTGCTACCAAGATATCTTTAAAATAGAATACATAAATGACTTCAACTGATGGCAACACCATCTTAACACAATACAGCCCATTGTTTGACACCAGTATGAAGCAAACTGGTAGAAACATTATCAAAAAATCTTAATTCATTCATAGACCAATGATATTCTCTTGGACTGAAAGTAAAATGTTGGTATACAAATCAACACAAATCCACACCTGATATCAGACAGTCCCTTAACCCTCCCCGCAAAAAATTCATAATAAATAAATATCACAAATAATGTATTCAAAACTGCCACAAATGAATGTATCCTAAAACAACAGACCACACTGTGACTGTATTCTCAGAGATCTTAAACTAAATGCAACTACATAAAAACAAAGTAGTAAGGCTCTGTCAAAATACTGTTTGGAAACCAGTAGTTTTTTAACTGAAAATATGTGGTTTGGTATGACCCAGCAGTAGGCTTAGTAGTCCAACACAACAACTCCTAACACTGAGATTAAATAAATAGTTTAAACTTCTTGCCACGTGGCTGGTTTGAGGGCCAGCAATGCTAAGGTTCACTGGGCCAAAACACCAAGAAGGTCACCCCTTCCCCTGAACCATCACAGTTTCTGCCAACTTACAATCCCTTTATGGCAGGATAGATAAGAAAATTTTCTCCTCCCCTCAGCTATAAAAGAGGATTTCATACCTTCCCTGTACAGACCTGTGAGATACAAAGTCAGCAAAGAACAGGTTTGGGAATGAATTGTGAGGTGAGCTTCCTTACACCACCCCAACTACAAAGCACAATGATGGACTAAAAGAGTTAAGTTGTTCTCATATGTACACAAGGCTCTTCCTGCCATGATGTAGTTATACTAAAAAATAAATCTCCATTGTTGAGAGCTACCAAGTGCCACACACACTCTCCCGGTCTGTAACATACTAAGGTGAAGAAAGGAAACCAAGATTATGGTCCTCTCCTGAAGTATGACAACACAGTTTCCTTGGTGAGGCTCCACAGTATAATACTAGTGGCATCAAACCCCTTATTTGAAGTGCTTAAACAGTGTGATGGTAAATGAATGTGATCAACATAATAAGGCAAACTGGTCCTGAACCACCAAGCTATCAAACAGAGGTAGAGTGTATCTCTGATTTCCATGGCCTTCAAGTTCGTGATATCAATACTGTTTTCCATATGAACCTAGAAGCTGGAACCTGGAAACTCACTGTTGAAGCAACCACTGGGAGAAGAGTTCCAGTTCTCGATCTTTGGGCGAGGAGCTACTACAGTACGTTATGTGGCACTAAATCATTTATCACTGAGAGAGTGTAACCTATTGCTAGACATACCAAGTACAGTACTCTGACTAAGGCAGGTGCTGACAGGGATGTTCTACTGCAGCTCACTCACTGACGACCCATGAGCTACAAAAAAAATGATATTTCACAAAAGAGCCACCAGAGGGCAACATCAGTCTTGAAACAACACAACACACTTCATGATCCCAAGACAAATGTGTACCAAATATGAAGTGAACTGGTCCAAGAGCTTTTGTGCAATCAAGAAAGTAAACCTGCTGAAGCAAAAATTCCCTTAAACAAGAAAATATTTGTTTTGTCTAAAAATCAACAGAGATAATAGCAGGTCCCTAACACAGTATGAGTGATAAACAGTTATATGAAAGAGAAAGATTAAGTTGACAATCTAACACAAAACTAATTTGAAGTAAACTTAAAAACACTTCTCACTTTCAACTACAATATCTTCCATAATCAGTTTAACTTGTTATACTTTTCCTATTCACAAGATGAAATTGGCTATTATAATAAGGGCCCCTGAAGTAGAGAACAAAATGATTTACACAAGACCATAAACACTTGAGTCAGTAGAGAATAGCTTCACTACACTGGGTACACGACATGGAGCACACCCAGTTACCTGTACTGATCAACACTGTATTTCCTTCATTTTCTCTTTATATAACAAACATTGACCATAACTGACCACCTGTAAGGAAAAAATTTTAATACTTCCAATGGGTCATAATGTAAAACAGGTGTTATTCTGGAACCCTAATACTACACTGTACAACCTGTGTAAGTTGTCTATACACAGCAGTGTTATATACTGTACATGTGTATACTGTACCTGCAATTGTGTGATATGTCTGTGTTAATATTACCTAATGTACAGTATTTTAACATCATCTTGTGTAGGTAAGTGTATATATATGTAGGTAACTGTATATGTGTGTTATGTACATTTGTGTAGTGAAAATATACATGTCTTTTTTTTATACAGAATAAAAACATTCCATAATCAACCTGAAAACTTTGAAGAAGTAACCATTAGTTCAACTAATACCAACCCACAGACTTAAGCACACACGCACACACTCACGCACGCACACAAACAAACGTTCTTGAGCCCTAGACTAGTAAATAATGTTGTGCGTGTGTGGAGGTAAATTATCATCTTAGAAAATAATCAAAATTAATAGTATAGTAATCACAAATTCCAAACTACAGTACAACACATCACAGGGTTGGGATAATAGCCAAACCAACCGGGTAGGTGCAGCAAACAACAAACATGCTCTCTTTAAGTTTTACCTTGCACTTCCACCCAGTTCTGGAGAGGGAGAGGCCAAAGGGGCGGGCACACACCACATGGTACGCCTTGTCACACACCCCACATACGATCTCATCGCTTGGCTGTCGACACATCTGCATACCCGGTTGAGGGGGAGGGGGGGACACAGAGGGATTACTGTCATGCACCATAGCACGAAGTCAGGGCACCGAGTCAAGGATACAAGGGGGGACTCAAAATACCACAAACTGGCACTACACCAGTTCTGTGAGAGAGGGGGGGGGAAGGGGTTACCTCCAGACTGTCATTTATTAGGTGTGACCCAAGACGTAACCACAGATACATACACAATTGAGTAAGCATGCATGATCAACAGTGAGTGCATGTTCAGCCAATTAAAGTCTGTACCAATATCAGTGCTGTTAATTATGTACACAGCTGCTGAGTATCACATTGCAGAAAAATATTGAATAGAAGGTTCTTAAATTAAAACAATATTTTGTAAGAAATTATGGCTGGAGCCTTTTGAAGGTCAAAGCATATGAAAGTGTATTGAAAAATGCGGAGCATCAATATTTCTACAGAATTCTCCCGCTCTTAATACTTAATATACCCTTAATGTAAGCAGATTCTCAATGTTAAGGAGAGGTGTACCCATGAGAGGAGGCAGAATTAAAAACATCATAAGAAGTACTGTGAGACATACACAAGGAAGATCATGGTTGTATGGGTTACATCTTTTAAATGAGACTACTGTACTGTATCTGTTAGAGACTTAATAAAAAGGAGGACAAGTGATCATGCAGCACCTGATTCATTAATAGCTCTATAATATGCATTATCAGGATCATATAGAACAGGAGAATGAGAGAAGGCTCACCATCAGAGAGAGATTGTGGTAGATGTTATGCCACACATGTTACAAAGGGATAACAACATGTGGTAAAGCTACATATAAAGGGAAAACTGGACAAGAGGCTTTGAAGGGTAATGAGGGTGCAGGTGGGAAGAAAGTGCTGGAAGTTGTGGGAAGACATGTGATAATGATAAAAGTAACATGAACAGTGAAGTAAGGAATTGTACGACTGAAAGAAAAAGAATACCGTGTAGGTACTGTACATGAGTGAGTGGCTGTGTAGGAGAACAAGACAGCCTAGAGCTCTCTTTCTCTCTGCCAGCTGACCGCAATGACACCAAATCCAGACCTCACCTCCAAGTGATGAAAATTCAACTGAGATTTACAGAAATTTGCCACAGAATCACACACATTAGCTTGGCTACCACACACACAGGCTGCCTCACCAAGAAAATACAAGAGGAATATCTCAATAAACAAGATCAAAGGTAGAGAACCACAAGATCAAAGGTAGAGAACCACAAACAAACAGCGCCATTCCTCACACCTTGTAATGGTCTCTGAGAGCACCAAAAGTAAACTAGTCTGTGAAGTACAGCGAGATGAGTAAGTTTCCACAGTTTAGAGAACCTGTCCATGAAGCCTGGTCAGTTTATTTCACAGTACATTACTGTTTGCATATCTAATAACTGATGCTTATCTACCCTTTTTGGGAATAAACAAAGGTTCCACTTAACAAGACACATGTGCTCTTGAAAAGGTGTTAGTTGGGTCAAGATTTTCACTAAACAGAACCCCATCTTCCCATGTTATAACCTGTTGTTAACTCCTGCCTCAAGAATTTCAAACCAAAAATCAAAATCAAAGATATCAAACTCAAATTCTGATGTGACAATGGAAAATGTGGACAGTTTTTAGTTGCCAGATGTGAATATTTAAGCTGTTTGTAGTCTGCCCAGTACTGATGGTACAGAAAGTGAATTTGTGAGAGCACTAAACTGACTTCCCTCCCTCACTGATGGAGCATGAATACAGCCAAGACCACTACTTCTCGCTACACGCATTCTAGAAACATAATTTTGTTTAAGTAGTCTTCAATGTTTTGGGTGTCAGTATTATTTGGTTTGATCTCCTGTCATAAAACTGTAGATAAAACAATGAGTCAATTTCAGCAGACTTCCTCAACCACCCACTGACACCACCACCCCCCATCACAGACAGTTGTTGCTGCTTGAGCTGTGTTTATATACTGTACTGTACTGGAGGACTTGGGTATTCACTAATATTATCCCTAAAAATTAAGCTGTAACTAATGGGCTTCAGGTACACTACACATGTTATGTATAAGTGTCTTACAATGCACTCAGATGGGATAACACCCTGAAGCTTACATAAAACTGGCTTATAAAATCAATCCCATCAGCCACGTAATTTAGCTGTCATTATTTTCTGTCTGACATGATGGGCAAGAAATATAATAAACATACGTGTCTATTGTTCTCTTTATGGTACTGCATAAGTAAATAAATAAAACAAGAACAGAATGTAAGTTCAAATTCAATATAACTAAAAGCTAGCAACCAGCCCAGCAAGTGATCAGTTTTCAGTTAAAATTTTGCTTTTCAAATTAAAAAGAAATTATGTACTAATTGAATTTTTATACCACAAAAGGTAATAAAACCAATTCTTATAAACTAGTTATTTCATTGTTAAGTGGGACCTTACTTAAGCCTTCTCACCAGGTTCAATGTGGCAGGCATGTTTGTATGTGTCTGTTTCATGAATTACACACAAAACAATAAGAAATGTCTGACCTTGTGCTCTGACTTTTTACTCCAAAGAAGATTATCTAAAATAACAAAATTACTTCAGAAAAAAGTCCTTCATATGCCAACTGGTGTCACTACTAGTAAGGATGCAGACCAATGATCCTGAATTGTAAGTGAATATCAAAATTAGACCCATGGAAGAGCTCTGAGTAAAGATAGATTAGTGCATACAGAAGAAGAAATAAAATACTTGAAAAGGGGATATGAATGTAGGTAATACATGCAGGTGAAATTCCTTAATGAAGATTCCATTATGGTACAAAGCAGGAACTTTCAGATATACAGTACAGTGTTTGCCCTAAATATACTGTACTGTATACAAAAATAATACATTAAAAGAGGTGAGTGGCTTTTTATTAATGAGAGTTGTATGACTAGATTTACAGTATATAAGCCAAGAGGTGAGAGGCACTCCTGGGGTAATATACTGTTTAATGAGGTTACAGGTTTCTCTAAGTTCAAATTCTTTTTTGTCATGTTGATGAAAGGAATTGAGGAGAAAACTGGCAAAATGTTACATTGTGTAATATCATGACAAGTTGTACAGTGAATGGCAGACATAAATTAGTCAAGAATAGATCCTGATCTTAGACATACAAGCATGAGTTTTGTATATAACAGATCCGTATATCATGATATAATACAGCGAGTTTCACTGCAGTAGTTTTTCTAGAAACATAGATACAGTACAGACAAAGCTATTCACTGAAGGCATCTGATCTCTACTATAACTAACTTTGAGCAAGTCATCATTAACTGTTTAAGCCCAGCATCCTTTGATGATAACAAAAATGTGTTGTTGATTTATTTCAAGAGTTTCACCATTTACGAAGATGCAAAACAAACATGAAATTCTTGACAGACAAAATATATATATATATATATATATATATATATATATATATATATATATATATATATATATATATATATATATATATATATATATATATATATATATATATATATATATATATATATATATACAGGTATATATATATATATATATATATCACTGATGTAGGCGGTCACAATAGTGTATAATTATAGGCAAAACAATATAGATAAAAATTTGGAGATCTTATGATGTTGAGTGGTGGGGGTGATGCAGTCTGTATGTGGGCCCTCAAACACTGAACCATCAACAAGACCAAGGGTGAGGCCTTTGTCTCCTCACTCAAGAAACTAACCATGACCTTAGGCATTGAAAACTGCTACAGTACAAGAAAGGACATATTTTTTCCATGTACACTCGCTCCAAACAAGTAGAATTACGATTTTCTGTGAGACAATATGACACAACGGATGGGGAATTTTGACAACCCTACCGAGACAACAGGAGTCGTGGTGTTCATTTTGAAATTCACGGGACGCCTCCGTAAAGATACTTTTTGGAGCGAGTGTACGAGGAAAGAAAGACAGAACAACTGCAGGTCTAAGAAAACTCATATCTTGAAAAGGTGATGATGAGAGAAGGGTTGATAAGTGATTGAATAAAGAAATACAAAGTTTAGATGGTACTTGTGGAAATATTAAAGCCACAGGTGATGAAAAAATAAGAATACTTTCCTAATTCCATGACTAAGTTGGCCCATAGGAAAAATGGTAATGGTTGTTGTGTAAATATTAAATCTATGGTGGAATAAGCAAGTTTAATAAGAGAGACTTGTTAGTAAGGAACAGTACCATTTGTACAAGATGGGTCATACTGCACAGTATATATAAAAGACCATAGAGCTAGGCCTAGTGCCAACTGACAGCATTCACTAATTCATTTCAAATTTAAAAGAGGAATATAAACTAACATGTTCAATCACCTTCACATGATTACACCAAGATCTCTAAGAAACTACAGTACAGAATGTCAGGTGTTGGTGTCTTATCCAACAGCAGTGTTCAGGTAACTCTCCTTGAAGCCTCAAGTAGCAATATGTACAACTCTAGGTAGGTGTTAACAGAGTCTATAACACAACAACATACTGTACTGGAAGGAACAACAAAACTACAAGACTACATCTTTACTACAGCACACCCAAGAGACAAGATTCTTCCTATTAATCTAAATGATACCAGCAAGTGGTCAGTGATAAACATATAACTCCTGCTCCTTACCTGACACATTTTGCAGTCTGGACACTGCCATCCTGCCCGTACAGCCGAGGTGGCCGTGACCGGTGGCTTGAGACAGAGGCCGTGGTAGTGGTTGCCACAAGAAGAACAGAAGAGAAGGGAACTCTCGGGAGACGAGTGTTCACACACCATACATGCCATGTCCACTACTAACAAAATAAATAAGTTTGGCTTTAGTAACAATACTTGAAGAAATATTGAAATATTTTACACAATTTAAAAAATGTCAACTTTGTTTCATTTATTCATTCTTTATCTAATGCAGGATCCTAAAAAATATCTGTAGAAGGTTACTTCATAAAAGGAGGAGGAACAACTCAAAGACCAAAAGCCCTGAGGTCAGGTCAGGTCAGGTTAGGGGAGGGATATAGAGTTTGAATTATAAACACAAAACTTATTCACACAGTTATAAAATGTTCTCTGTAAGTGTACAGTATGATCTGATTTCATTAAATAAATCCCAAATTTGCCGGGGTTTATGGAGAACATCCCAGTTCATGTATAGAAGGTAATACTGTAGCTTCACTCATTTTAAGAACCCGGTTTAAGATGATGACAACTACAAGATACTGATGTCATGTTCCCTGGAGACACATTTCTCTACTTACACAAGTCTTTGCTCTTGTCTGCATGGGGAGGGCAAACCATCGCTACAGACTTAAGATCCATAGAAGCTCCAACATTCATTGCACACGGAAAATGGTAATATCTCTGACAGCCAGACACCTACAGTAGAGTAAAGGGAATAAAGAATATTATAAAAAAACGTTTGTTTCATGTTGCTGTGTGAAATAAAAAAATATATCCCAGTAATACTGATTCATGGAATGTTCTTTATGAGTAAAATGATAACTTATAATTTTCAAGAATGGAATACACAATGAGGGACTAAGAGACAATGAGAGTTTCTACTATTATGAAATATTGTACAAAAAAATAAACCCTTTAAGGAAAATTCCATCCATAAAATTGACAACCAAGAATAATTTCAGAGTTAATGCAATGTTCTCATATACGGTCGACAGCCTTAGCATATGTTAGTTGGGGAATCAAGAAACCCAAATTGTCAAAGTACACTCCCTCTCTGACACCTAGATAGAAAACTGAGCAGTATTGTACTTCATTTCCTAGAACCATCATGAACCGCCCATTTGAACTATTCCATCCTGTAAGCTTTTCAGTATAAAAACTATAATACTCACCATCATGTTAAACCAAGACACAGACATAATAAAGAAGTTTTTCCTTTATCATACAATCCCAGAAATGACAGATTCTACCACACTAATAGTATTTCTCTGGTGGTGGTGGTGGTGGTGGTGGTGGTGGTGGTGGTGGTGGTGATGATGATGATGATGATGATGATGATGATGATGATGATGATGATGATGATGATGATGATGATGATGATGATGATGATGATGATGATGATGATGATGGTCATTAAACATACCAACACAGCCCCTACCTTGCATGGAAGAGTAGCACCAAATTTCTTACAGTGCACACATCTCTGACTTGCTCCCGTAACGACAGCACAGTCGACTGAACTGACCGTATCGTCGTTTGTCAGCTCAACAGCAGACGACCAGAGCGCACACATATAATGAACAAAGCAGTGGCCTGAAATGTTAAATATAGCGGACTTAACATCTTAAAACATTACATTTAATTATATACCAAGAGTGATCAGTTATTCTTTGGTGTTCACAGTCTCTCAATATCTGTTCTTGTATAATGTCATAACTGAACCATTTCCATTCTACTACCATTAATTGACATAATGTTACCCACTACCATTTCCCTCTCCTCTGTCTCATCCGTCCACCTGTTTCAAATGTTGTGCTCAGTTCATTCCCAGTTGTGTCATCCACCTGCTATTTTCATTGGCTAATTCATCATACTGTATGCCATTTGGAGATTAAAAAAAAGCTACACAAAAAATGGAAGAAATAGTACACTAAGGTCCCCCCCCCCAAAAAAAAAACAGTGGTAAAAGGCTGTAAAGACATTCTGGAACCTCATAAAGAAATCAGATTGAACAAGAATTAGAACTCACCTGATGGTTCAAATAGTGTGGCTATACTCGGCTGTTCCTGGTGGCCAACGAGAGAAATTTCATCCACTGGCTCCGGTAAAGCTTCTCCCACTTGTTTTCTCGGTGATTTTCCCTTGTCCCTGAGGAATTAAAGCGATGTACTGTACACTGACTCACTCCACCGCACTATATCAGACAGGAGGTAATGCAGTGTTTAGCGGGAAGGAAAAGCAAGAACAGGGAGAAGAGAAGGGCATGTGAACAAACTGTAAGAAAGGAGAGACAAAAGAAGAGAGCAGTTCTGGTGAGGCGGTAAGAAAAATTGGTTGGTAGTGTGTGAAAGAAAGAAACCAAGATGACTCACTTGAACGGTGTATGGTTAGTTTTGAACTTTTTAGACGTGGGTGACTCTTGTGGATTATCATCCGACGGTGACATTATCTTCTCCGGTAGGGTGTAGCCCGGAGTGGGATCGTGTCTAATTAACTCCCCCTGGCCAAGCTGACTCTGCTCCCCGAGGCAACACAGGGCACAAACTCGTCCCGGCCTGCAAGGAAATAATGGCATCATAAAAACAATTATAAAAACAAGTACAATACAGTTCATAGATGCAAATTGTTCTTTTTTTTTCCTCAATACATCCAAGACATTTTCAACTTCCTAGTCACATTACAAAGGTCACTAAGGACCAGAGGCTGCTCAAGTGTGTAGCTCATCTAAACAGACAAAGGGGAGCAGTCTTTGTTAAGTCCATCAAAACTGATTACACACAAAAGTACATTCTTTGTCACAGGTTCATTATTTAAGGTTGGTGGTAATAGAGGATTTGAAGTTATAAAGTCCAACATGTTAAGTTTGGTAAGAGGATCGTGTTAATGTGGGTATTATTCAACGCTCACCACTTGTCCTGGTACGTGGGTGCCATAAACATGTCGTCCTGAGCGTAGGCCTCGTCGTCCAGAGGTAGAGGCGAGTCATCCCCAGTCAGCCCTCCTCTCTCCTCCAGGGACATGCTGTGTGTAAGGCGACGCCCACCACGACCTCGCCTGAAAGCACGCATTGTTAGCTGCATCAACGAGTACAGTACTGTTCAGGTCAGTCATAAAGAATATTGTGTTTCCAATCTGGGGAATTACTTTTCTCAACTTAAAACTTTTTAGTAAGTACAGGATCACATATTTTATAACTAACAAGACAATCAGATTTATGCACTAGAGCCAGAGTGCAACAGGTCTGATGTTAATAGTTATTGTAAATAAAATAAAGAACAAAATGAACAGCTTTTAAATCTTAGCCTATCTCTTACAGGGCCAAGATGAGTACAGTACAGTGTCATGTATTACCAACAGTCTGCTAACACTGATCTGATCCAGCTGTTCCCTGTGATACAGTTGCAGAGATGTGTTTCTACACCCTGTGGTAACCCATGTCTCCAAACGGCCAACCTATACGACCTATAGCAAACCTATCCACCAATCACGTCCGTCGTTACCTGACCAATACCCATTCATTCATAAATGATGGTATTGTAGTGGATATTTCCCCTACAACTACAACTGCCGTTTGTCGCTGACCAGCCGATCCCTTGTCGAGTTCCCCAGCCAAAGCCTCGTGGTCTGACAGAGCGGAGTCGGCTATCAAGCCACTCCTACCTCCGCTATATAAGCTCTCAACCTCCCCGTGAACTCCCGCCTTCTACCTACAGTCCCGTAACACGCAACACCTCCTCTGAGCAAGTTCCTCACCAACCAGCTCCCTCAGCAAGCTCCTCACCCAACAGGACCTCTGAGCAAGCTTCTAACCATGCAGCAACTTCCCAGCACCAAACTGCACTGTACATTCAATATAATATATATACAGAAAATACATTGTGAGTTTCCTTTCTCCAACCCATCCTGAGTGTGAGACCACATCAGGAAACCTCACAGTACTACTACGGTGACGGTGCCGTTTGAAGACACGTTACCACAAGGAATGTAGGAACACATTACCACAACTGTAAAAGTCTAAATTGAAGAAGAAATACAATTTATATCAAGCTACAGTACAGAGAGTAATCTTCACCAACACAAACACCATTATACTTATAAACTTGCTAAATGTCATTCAAACTTTTCTAATAACCTCGATAAATCGGACTAATTGGGGCAGACCACAGTCCAAAAAAAACACGAATATAAGGGGGGGGTGGAGATAACACTGTTTATCTGAACTCTTTAAAGAAAGTCAGTGATGTTATTACTGTACTTCAACAACTAAGGTGTATAACAAGGTTATTAAAAGAATATTACATCAACAATAAAAAAAACTATGAAACATAACTCTCTGGGTTGAAAATGAGTCATTTAAGTCTGGTTGTGACCGAGATGATTGTTATTTACTGTAAAGTGTTATATGTAAGTAACCACAGAATTTGTCTTATGAATAAACTGTACAGTACTATAAAGATAAGAACACATAAGTGGAAGACAAGTGTTTATCTGGGTAGGTGGCTCCCTCCCCCTCACAAGATTCCTTTAGCATGTCTTTGTGCAATTTCACCACAATTCTCATATAATTTAAGATCATTTGGTGCCAGGTTGATAAAATATTATCCTAAAAGAATCAGCTTTCCTGAAAAGAGAATCCCACACTGAACATAAGTTATTTCATACTCATTTGTTTACAAAGAACAAACAGCTGATTGGCTTACCACAATGTGTCTTCAACACTTAGTAATTAATACAGTACAGTTGTGTATTTATCATCACTTAATAAATAATATTGCAGTGCATTTAGTATCATTTAATAAATATAATTGTGTATTTATCATCAGTTAATCAGTAATATTGTACTGTACAGTATTATACATCTGCATATACGTACCCTAAGTGTACAAGTAGTCAAACTGAGTCACCATAATAAATATCGTTGTTAGGAAGGTGTCTTCATCTCAAACATTATACAGTGTGTTATAGTGACCCCTGTTGTAAGCTGGTCTGCAGAAAGTTCTCACACGAATGCATCTTGAGTAAACAACCTTCTGATACAGCTAATCCTTTTATTTTCAAGTCATATTACTAATTACACACAGTACCTATTGTATTTTTTCTCTATTAATGAAGATGTTATATTAATCATGATGAACCATAAACTATAAGAGGCCGATTATACGAGAATATACTACTGAATCAATAAACAAACAAACCTGATAAATGTGGCAACACCTAATAAGGCCCAGTCTGCTTACATACCGAAGTGTCTTAGTAGGCCTATAGCAAATCTGATTAGATCACTGTACAGTATTCAGTAAGTGTGGTTCATTTCATAAGATTTTTTTTTTTTAATCTTCCCCTTTTTTTGTGTGTGTATTTCTGGTGACCAGAGCATCTCAAGAGTCCAAAAAAAGCAAATTCCGCTACATTGAAGTCTGATTTATCGAGGCTTTACTGTACACTTGTAATTATCTACATTTATGTACATGTTACAGTACTGTCTCTCACAATTGCTGTGCCAGTAAAGCTTTTAAGAAACAGTTAATGAAACTTACAAGCCACCAAGTCTCTTGATTTTCATTCCTTTTCGCACCTGGAAAGTGCCACTTCTTGATGGACTGAGAGGCATCCCCTTGGAACGACCACGGATCTTGGGTATAGTTACAACTCCACTTCGACTACAAGGGACCTGTACTGGAACTAATGGTATGGTCGGCATCATGTCTGGTCCAAGAATTCCTCTACTGATTGATGAAACAGCATCACTAGATAAAGCAGATGATGTTGAAGTTGTAGTTCTGGAGAGAGTGGAGAATGCTATGGAGGTGTGATTAGATACAGAACATGAAGATGATGATGAAGGAGAGTGGGACGATCTCTGTTGAGCTGCAGTGGCTTTTGTGATTGTTATAGAAGAGCTGGATGGCAAAGAGGCCAGAAGGAGAGGCTGGTCCACCTCCATCTTCTCTTCTATTTCACCTCCTAAGTTTGTCGATGCAGGACCTGAAACAATGCAAGACAAATGAACGATCAGAACATTATTATTCATGAAGCTACAGTATGTTGTTTCTAATGAGACCTGACACTACAGCTGGCAATGATCTGCTCCCAAAACTGTCACCAACCAACCAAGGCCTTTAACCCACAAGTCATCAACTGGTTTCCCCAAGACATTTCTTACGTCTTCATGTAAAAAGGTGAAAAATCTCCAGGCCGAGAATATTAACACTACACCCACTGTACATTGACACTGTAGCACATTCTTTGAGAGTTTTCTAGTTCTACAATTACATCCCTCATCCCCCTGGTCATATACTGTAAACACTAAGGGACAGTGCCAACCCCCTGGTCATATACTGTAAACACTAAGGGACAGTGTCAACCCTCTGGTCATATACTGTAAACACTAAGGGACAGTGTCAACCCCCTGGTCATATACTGTAAACACTAAGGGACAGTACCAACCCCTGGTCATATACTGTAAACACTAAGGGACAGTGTCAACCCCCTGGTCATATACTGTAAACACTAAGGGACAGTACCAACCCCCTGGTCATATACTGTAAACACTAAGGGACAGTGTCAACCTCCTGGTCATATACTGTAAACACTAAGGGACAGTACCAACCCCCTGGTCATATACTGTAAACACTAAGGGACAGTGTCAACCTCCTGGTCATATACTGTAAACACTAAGGGACAGTACCAACCCCCTGGTCATATACTGTAAACACTAAGGGACAGTGTCAACCTCCTGGTCATATACTGTAAACACTAAGGGACAGTACCAACCCCCTGGTCATATACTGTAAACACTAAGGGACAGTGTCAACCTCCTGGTCATATACTGTAAACACTAAGGGACAGTACCAACCCCCTGGTCATATACTGTAAACACTAAGGGACAGTGTCAACCCCCTGGTCATATACTGTAAACACTAAGGGACAGTACCAACCCCCTGGTCATATACTGTAAACACTAAGGGACAGTGTCAACCCCCTGGTCATATACTGTAAACACTAAGGGACAGTACCAACCCCCTGGTCATATACTGTAAACACTAAGGGACAGTGCCAACCCCCTGGTCATATACTGTAAACACTAAGGGACAGTACCAACCCCCTGGTCATATACTGTAAACACTAAGGGACAGTGCCAACCCCCTGGTCATATACTGTAAACACTAAGGGACAGTGTCAACCCCCTGGTCATATACTGTAAACACTAAGGGACAGTACCAACCCCCTGGTCATATACCGTAAACACTAAGGGACAGTACCAACCCCCTGGTCATATACCGTAAACACTAAGGGACAGTGTCAACCCTGTAATGATTGTTTGTCAGACCAAAGCTTACAGCCTGGAATTATGTCACATGTAACAGCAAGCACTACAGACCTCGTGGCACCATCACATCCCGGATTGACACACCTCAGGTCGACCCTAGGGACTTGACTTCGTCCGCTAATGACGTGAGTTAGCCGGGTGACCTACAAACCGCACCTAACCAAGACACCTGGGCAGGACGGCACCTGCACACAGCCGCCCAGACCTGACACTAGGGAACCAGAATTCTCACCACCACTCGATCAGCTCTACCCGGCGTCATGACCTGAGTAATTCAAGGACCCGCTAATTAGCCAGCACTCCTGTTGACCCGACAACCCGGTCAAGACACACCCAGTTCAGTAGGAGAGGTCACCCCCCGGCTCGACTAATATATAGGGGCTGGAGCTCCTCTCACCAGAGAGAGTGTCTGTAACCAGGAAGGGCCAGCTACCAGGTCCCCGAGTCCCGCTCGAGAGAAGACCGCCATTAAGTGTGCCGAAGTCTCAACCCAGGTCCATCGACAAAGTGCTGTCAACTCCACGTGTAACAGTAAGTGCTGGCTGTGTAGTCTGTGGAAGTGCAGTGATCCCGAACCTCCCCAACGATCGACTTAGTGAAGTGCCCATTCTAGTTGTGAGGTTAGGTTATACGAGAATACCATAGTATCATAAATTGTGTACGAACCCCCCTATTAATCCCCCCTACTGAACTAGTAAAATAAAGCTGTAACACGCATTGGTGTTTTATATACTACACTTGTACTGTGCCTGTGTTAATATACAGTGTTGACATCACACCCTCGAGACACGCTACCATTTCCTCTCGCTATAATACTCTACTACTATAAGCTCCTAACTTACCTCTTCATGTGAGATTTTGTCTCATTACAACCCCCTGGTCATATACTGTAAACACTAAGGGACAGTGTAAACCCCCTGGTCATATACTGTAAACACTAAGGGACAGTACCAACCCCCTGGTCATATACTGTAAACACTGAGGGACAGTGTCAACCCCCTGGTCATATACTGTAAACACTAAGGGACAGTGTCAACCCCCTGGTCATATACCGTAAACACTAAGGGACAGTGTCAACCCCCTGGTCATATACTGTAAACA